AATCAAACTATGTATGTGGTTGTACTAGACTTGATTTTAAAGACCATTTTGGTGTGCAGCTTGTGCTGTTATTTTAAAATTTGCATCCGTAGTTGAAAGCATAGATGTCAGTCCATGGTTGAGCCCATGAGGAAACAGGAGCCCACAGCTGTTCCTTTAAAGGTTCTATATGTGACATTTAGTATCACTAGATATTGCAAGAGACCAAAACAAATGGGCGTGTCTGTCACATCTCCCCTCGCCCATGAGGTTCCATTTACAACCAGAAAAGTTGACAACAACAATAATAGCCACAACCATTCACCCGCACTGGCACTGTAATATACATCGTAAAAGTTGTTGTCAACATCGGTAACGTTCACTCCGCTTCACCTATCTCTCCTACGCGCCGCTCGTGTTTTTCATTCGTGTGGCACAGATGCATACAGACCTGATCTGACTCTTGTGTGGAGACAGACACTCACAGACACAAGGGGGTCAAGGAGAGGCAGCAGAGAGCAGCCAATTCAAAACAGCAGGACAGACTCTTAAACTGAGCTGAAAAAAATAAGTGAACGCAAATTTGGTAAATGAGGTAAATAAAATACTTTCAAAATTACAAATCTAAATTACTTGCTTGGGTTTCAGGGCAAAGGTGGAACACCCTATTTTTGCTTTGACAATGTGGTGCTGGAGGTCACTCTCGGCCTGTTTATGAACACAGGCAGGGCCAGCAGTTTCGGGGGGGGGGACGACTTCCATGCAGTAAAATGTACACATGGGCAAAACATAGAACAGAAGCTCAGATTACAACACACACAGGACTGTGACTTCATTCTCTACAATATCTTTACATAGCAGATAGTTATTTGCTGCCATATTTTTGCAATATTTATATTAAAAACTTTGTGTATTACATCTTTTATTACTTTTTATTAAGTAAATGGACAGCACAATGCTGCTTTTCCCTCTAAAGCTCAACAACTCTATGACTGACATCTATAACGATTTGCCTAATCAGTTAATTAGGTCATTTATCAAATAATAACAACATCTATTGTCATTTTGCAACTTCTCCAGTGTAAAGATTTGATGTGTCACTAGATATTCATTAATTCATTTGACCTTTATGTAGACTCTGAATGCAGGTGTGTATGCAGACACACATAAAGAAACTTGGATGAAAAAAATAAAAAAAATAAAAAATATATAAATTTGCAAAGAAAACATTAACATTAATTAAAGCATCTAAATTTTATTATTGCTGTACTCTGAAAAGTTCGCTCAAGTGTTTAAATTCAAAGGTGCTTATGTTCAAAGTAAATCATTTTTCTGCTGCTACCTTTCTCCTTCTGCTGCTGATACAATCATGTATAAATTGTCACCATAATCCAAGACTGATAGAAAAGTTGCCTCAGTAATAGTCTTTTTTTTACAATGCCATCAGAAAAATGATTTATTCCTGTAAAAGAAGCCATCCATCCATTCATTTTCTATACATTGCTTTATCCTCTGTATGGTCGTGGGACACCCTGGACAGGTCACCAGTCTGCTACACTGAGAGACAGATAATCAAACACACTCACATTCACACCTACGGACAATTTAGAATCACCAGTTAACCTCAGCATGTTTTTGGACTGTGTGAGAGGAAGCCGGAGAACCTGGAGAGAACCCACGTTGCACAGTGAAAACATGCAAACCCCACACAGAAAGACCACAGGTTCCTGTTATTGTTTTTTTTTTTCTCCCAATTGAATCACCACTGTGTGTGGACATGTGATACTAAAATATCAACTTCTCACCATTCCAAACTCAAAGATAGAAACATGGTTCTTTGCACATCTTCAAGCAGAATGCAGCTGAAACAGGTGCTTCTTAGCTTGACGATAGCAAATTTTTACAGTACAGAAAGGGAGGCTGGAGCACACTGCTTAATAGATAGATAGATAGATAGATAGATAGATAGATAGATAGATAGATAGATAGATAGATAGATAGATAGATTAAATAAATAATAATAATAATAATAAATAAATAAATTTCAAGGTATTTATACACTCTTTTTTTCAAGACTTGTAGTAGAAATGGCAAGATTACCAGAATTGTGTCTGGCTTTGACAGGCATTAAAAAAATGAATGTACATGTAAAAGTAGAATGCTGAATGGATTTAATGAAGAACATACAGTATGTGCACTACACTGCAAACTTATGTCCTGAAAACTCTTAACACAGTTATGTCTTGTAGGATACATAATTAATTGAGAGAGATTAAAATTGCCACAGAATTCTTTCAAATGGTCAAAGGTAAGACTCAACGAGTTTGAATTAAAATGGCCTAAAATAATAAAATGGCCAACGTAATCAACTACTTTTTGAAAGTAGTTAAGATGCCAGTGACTGAGGAGGGAGCAGTAGTAGGCCTTTACACTCCAGGTAGCAGTGATACAGTTGTTTTCAGCAATATGGACATTTAATGTTAAGAATACACACCATCTTTCAAATGTGAACGCATTAAGAACCAGACAGTTTATGGTGTATATGGCTTATCCTCCACTTCTTGATTTCCTGTCTATTCTAAAGAGGTTGGAATGATACAGTACACTTTCTGAATCATTCACAGTACACCTCAGCCAAGTGTCAGATCAAACAATGATGTCAGGATCTCTTTGTGCTGTCAAAATTTTCAGCTGATCTAACTTGTCCTGTTACATAATTCTACGTACATTTATAACTTTGCCTATTTTTAGAAATGGAATTATTATTAAAATTACCATTAAAATGATGCTAAAGAGGAGATACCTTCATGGTGGTTTGAGCCCAGTAACTGCTGGACTTGAATGTGAAGTTTAACCACTGAGCTATTGACTAAGACTGGGGGAACATCAATTACTGGAAGACTGGTTTTCACTAAGCATTTTTATTTATTTTATGAAACTGTATTGACTAAAAAAATTACCGATTCATTTGAAGAAATAATCTGTAGACTGATTCATTTTAGAGCAGTTTAAAGGCCAAATCAGAAGACATAATGCTGAATGATCATTCTGACGTCAATACTACAGTCAGCAACTCTCAGCAGCAGCAGCAGCAGCTGTGTATTTTGTGCTATACCTTTATGTGAACACCTTATCAAGAGGATGTGTAATTGGAATGCATTCAAAGGCATCAAAATGTCAATTAGGGGCAACTCAGAAAAAAAGAGTAGTCTTTCTTTTTGGTTTAAGTTCTTGTTTAACTTTATCTACAAAATAACATTTTCACATTCTGTTCAGGGCTGCAAGGTGGTGCAGTTAGCGCTGTTGCCTCGCAGCAAGAAGGTCGCCGGTTCGCGTCCTGGTGGGGGCACCAGGATCTTTCTGCGTGGAGTTTGCATGTTCTCCCCGTGCAGTGTGGGTTCTCTCCAGGTTCCAAAAACATGTTGATGTTAATTAGTGATTCTAAATTGTCCGTAGGTGTGAATGTGAGTTTACATTGTCGTCTGTCTCTAAATGTAGCCCTGTGATAGACTGGCGACCTGTCCAGGGTGTCCCCTGCCTTCGCCCTAAGTCGGCTGGGATAGGCTCCAGCCCCCCACAACTCGAGTGAGGATTAAGCGGTGTATAGATAATGGATGGATGGACATTCTGTTCAAGACACAGTTGTTTTACTGGGTTGTTTACATTCAGAAAATAAATATACCTGGTCCTATTCTTCCCCCAGCATCACCAAACTTATTTTTATGAAGAGATATTGAGTTTCCAACTATTAGGATGTACATATCTGGTATGTGCCAAATGCCACATTAATCCATCAAACAGTGTGGCATTTACTAGGGTTGTACTCTGATGCCTTTTTATAGCACCCCTCATGACCACACACCTGTCTCAGCCTTTGTGGCTCAGTAGTGAGGGGGCTTTAAATGCTTACATGGAGAAATAAATAACCTTTTGTCAGTCGCCAAGGAAACTCGTAGTAGTAGTCACAGTACTGTTTCATTTATACACATGGGAATTTTTGCTAAAGTGACACCCAAGTAGTAGTTCTTAATGTGTGATTGTACTCAGGATGTACATTTTGCTACAAATAATGTCTCTGAAGCATGCATTTCTTCTGACTGATAAACTTAAATAATTCTGAATAACATACTAAGGCTTCATCACACAAAATCTTCTGGAAAACAAAATCCTTTTGATCCACCTTTCTTAATCCCTTCTGTTGTGTAATTATTTATACGTAGTGTCACAAGGGATTATAAATGGACCCAAGTGCTGACACACGTGGAAGGCAGGTTGTGATAACAAATAGAATCTTTAATAAAAGAAGGCTGGGGAGCAAACAAAAGGTGTCCGGTGATCCAGGAACGTTCATAACTAAAGAAAGACAGAATCCAAAACACAGGGTGCTAAACAGACACAGGAAATACATAGGCTAGCGGGTGGGTGAATAGAGTAGATGAGAATATGAACTGGGAACTGACAGGACAAGATAAAGGACTATGTATACCCAGAGAACTAATGAGGACGCAAGACACAGGTAGAGCTATTGACGGTAGAGCACACAAAAACACACAAAGAGAAGAAGAACAGGCACTAGACACACACAGTAAAACAAAAACAAACAAACTTCAAAATACAACAGAAAATAACTGAAAAAGGACATGGAAGGTTTACAGACAAGGAAGACACAAACAGGGAAACACGGTTGACATATAGAATAGGAAAACACACATGAAGGGATCTAACAAAACAAACCAAAACCTAATGCCAAGGGCATGTAAAGGTTTTCTATGAGTCCTTCATAAGCCAGTGGCAAGAATAAACATCGCATCACTCACATATCAAATATTTGAGTCCGCATTGATGACCCTTTCAGACTTCCTACTTCCCCTTTCTTCTCATCCCTTTTCTCATCTGATTTCTCCATCCCTCTTTCAGTCTGTTCTCCATCACTCTCCTTTACTGTAATTACATTACTCTCTCCCTCTTTCTCTCTCTTTCTCTCCCTCTCCCTCTCTCTCTCTATGTCTGTCTTTCTGTAGATCTGAGGGGAAGCAGAGCAGACCCTGATTGGAGAGGGAATCACGACCACAGTTCCAGCCACACAGACTGCCCTCGCCTAGATCATGCAGCCCTCGGTTCTTCTTCTCCTCTCCTCAATCTTCCTTCTGTCTCTCCTCATCCCCACTTGCTTCTCCCAGAGTGAGGCTGACTTCATTGTTCAGACACGTACTGGTCTAGTTCGAGGCATTCGCCAGCCAGTTCCAGACCGGAACTATGTCACAGCTTTCCTGGGCATCCCCTTCGCTGAGCCACCGGTAGGGAGGCGGCGTTTCCGTCCTGCTGAGCCCAAGCGTCAGTGGAGTGGGGTGTACGATGCTAACGCCTACCCCAATGCCTGCTACCAGTTGGTGGACACATCGTTTCCTGGCTTCCAGGGCAGCGAGATGTGGAATCCTAACAGAGAAATGAGTGAGGACTGCTTGTACCTCAATGTCTGGGTGCCCTCCTCGCCCAGACCCCACAATCTCACCGTCATGGTGTGGATCTACGGTGGAGGTACTTGGTCACAACTTACTCAGAATGAGTTAAACTATAAGTAGGTTAGACATGATTCATTTTTTGTTAGAAAGTTCATCATCTTGGCAAACGACTTACGTACAATGTACATACAACGTAAATGCACCAAAAATCGAGGTAACGCACCTCAGACTATGACAGTGGCAGTGTTTGATACTTATTCAACTGTTTCTTAAAATGTAAAGGGACTGCAATATAAATAGCTCATTTAATGTCACAAACTGCATCATTTAAAAGTGTATTTTTTAATTATACTTTGGAACTAAAAAATTGTTGTGATCCTGTGATATCCTGTGATGTTCACCGTCTTCAGGGTTCTACAGTGGCTCTTCTTCTCTGGACGTATATGATGGTCGTTATCTAGCTCACAGTGAGACAGTCATTGTGGTTTCAATGAACTACCGGATTGGTGCCTTTGGCTTTCTTGCTCTGCATGGCTCCTCTGAGGCTCCTGGCAATGTGGGTCTGCTGGACCAGAGGATGGCACTACAGTGGGTCCAAGACAACATACATTTCTTTGGTGGAAACCCCAAACAGGTTTGTTTCTCAACTGTGCTATTCGCCTATGCTTTTCTACACAGGAATTGATACGGACCAATATTGATCCGGATGCCTATTTGCTCTCTTTTTATCTTTGTAACAGGTGACTATATTTGGTGAGAGTGCTGGTGGTGCTTCAGTAGGATTTCACCTATTGTCTCCAGACAGTTGGCCTACTTTCACAAGAGCCATCCTCCAGAGTGGGGTCCCCAACTGTCCATGGGCATCAGTCACCCCCGCTGAGGCCCGTAGACGTGCCACACAGCTCGGCACGATGGTTGGGTGTAAAGAAGACAACGACACTGTGCTTGTAGACTGTTTGCGCAGCAAAACTCCACAGGAGTTAATTGACCAGGAATGGAAGGTAATGTAGACTCAGTCTGAGCTCATTTCATTCTTTACTATGCCACACAGGAAATTTCAGAAGCAAAGTATTCCTAAAACTTCAAGAAACGTTATCACATTGATGTAAAGATCACATAAACATCAATCATTGCCATAAATGAGTCTAGTTCATTCATTGACAGCATATTTCTAAAATAGTCTAATATAACCAGAAACATTGTATGTAAAAAAATGTGATACTACAACAAAGTAGTATGTCTCAATTGTACACAGATTGTATGCAACAATATTTACTTTGTATGGGCATTTGCAGGAAAAAAGAAGGAAAAAAGTATGCCATTTAGAATTAATTAAAATGAACTGAAAATGTGGTCTTACAGAACTAGAATCTAGTTTTGTTGACTTCTAAATCATGTTTGTTGCAGTGTAGAAATTCCAAAACAATGTCAATATTCAAATGCATCGTGTAGTTTTTGGTCTGGGTGTTTGCATGTCATTTCATAGTCACTCAGAATAAATCAGTGGTACACATGAGTTTGTGATTGTGTTCTGAGCAGGTTCTGCCATGGTTTGCCCTCTTCCGGTTTTCATTTGTGCCCGTTGTGGATGGTGAGGTTGTGCCCGACACACCTGAGGCAATGCTCAACTCAGGCAACTTTAAAGATACTCAAATCCTCCTTGGGGTCAACCAGGATGAGGGCTCCTTCTTCTTGGTGTACGGAGCGCCAGGCTTCAGCAAGGACAATGAGAGTCTAATCTCCAGAGAGGACTTCGTTGAAGGTAGAGATCACATAGCTGGAAAGAAGTAACATGGACAGAAAGAATACTGCAAAATGCTGTTCAAGAGAAAGCTCTATACTAGGGAAACTAGAAGGACATACAGCCTATGTAAAGGAATGCGATAATCACTAAACTGTTATCAGTTCTGTATGTAATGCTTCTGTTCATGTGACTTACCAGAGAAAATTGTAGAAATGCCACCAAAATGTTACAGCGATGATTCTATTAGCCACAGTTTTACCTGTAAAACAATAAAAACTTTAAACTTCACTCTGCCAGGTGTGAAGCTGAGCGTACCGCACGCTAATGATATTGGCGTGGAGGCAGTGTTGCTGCAATATACTGACTGGATGGATGAGAATAACGGATTGAAAAACCGTGATGCCATGGATGACATTGTGGGCGACCACAATGTTATCTGCCCACTGGCCCACTTTGCTCGCTCCTATGCCCAACACAACACCCTCAAAGCTAACATGGGAGGACCTGGCTTCGGGATGATAAACAGCGGAGGAAACTCACAAGGTAAGATATGTTCGTGGGTGTGTGTTTCATTTTTCCATAAATGTCACCAGTGGAGGAGTGTGGTTTTGCTGTGCAGCGGCAGAGTTTAGGATGTGTTTAGGTCTGGATAAGCAGCTGGATGCATCCGCTTGGCTTGTGTGTCACCAAATCCAGTTTGATGGTTTTTCCTCACAAAGCCAGTCTACATCTGTAGTAATTAGTAAATCTATATTTTTGCTGTCTTTGGCTATCTACAACCTACAACATTTGGGTATCGTAGCTGAGATCTTGTGACACAACAACCCTGTAAGAGTTATTGTGTTATTAGAGTTGCATACTGATGCAGCCACACAAGTCTTCAGAGAAGCTTTATTCAAGTCCAGAATTGAGTCACATTATGTAAGGCATTCATTTAGAGGTTTAAACAAAGACATGTGTGAACATTAGCAATTAAAGCAGGCTGTTGTATTTGTCCAGTATAGTTTGTAATGCTATGTTCCACTTCCTGCATGTAGGTACAGTCTTCAGTGCAGTGTAAGATAAAAACTGGCATTTGAATGCAATTTCCCTTATGCTGAGATAAGAAGAATTTGCTGCAGGAATAATGAAGCCCTTTTATTTTATGTTTTCTTAAGTTATCCACTGTTATCATATTTTCCAAATTCCCGTTTCGCCACAACATCAAATCCACCTTCGCAACGTAGCATATATGCCCCGAATGCCACCAAAACAGCCCTGACTCGTCTGGGTACACAGGACCTCTGGGAGTGTCCTGTGGTGTCTGGCACAGGAACATCCACAGCAGATCCACTGGGACATGTGGGTCCAGATTCTTAATTGGATTAGGGAGTTTGGATGCCAGGTCATTGCCTTGGGCTCTTTGTTGTGTTCCTCGAGCCATCCTCAAGGAGTTCTTACAGTGTAGCAGAGTGCAATGTCATGCAAGGGAGGCTTTCATGCCTCAGAGAATGCTGTTGCCATGGAATGTGGCCTTGGTCTGCAACAATGTTTAGCTAGGTAGACAAGTCAAAGTAACATCCAAATGAAATTCAGGACTGAAGGTTTCCTAGCGGGCACTGCAGGAGACAGCTGCCTCTCTAGTTGCTCCACAACACCAACTGTTTTTTTCCTTGTTTTTCTGTGTTTTTTTTTTTTTTCTTAGATATTTTTAGATATTTTTCTACTTTTCTTTTTGTCTTTCTATATTATATGGATACTTATAACTTCAAAGCACCCACAGGAGCCAGGAAACTCACTTTTTCTCGAGACGACCTACTGGCTCTAAAGCCGATGGCACAGGAAATACAACATCACATCCCAGCTGAGCTGAGGAGGCGCTACCGGGGCAGCAAGGCTGGCGCTAGGCTGAAGGTTAGGCTAACAGACCGAGGCGTTTCAAACCATCAATCCCGACGGTAATTATGGGACACCATGCAGAATAAGATGGACGAGGTGTCGGTGCTGATCAAACGGGTATCTACCAGGAGTGCAGCTTGTTCATCTTCTCGGAATCGTGGCTAACCCAGCTAACACCGGACGCTAACGTGGACCTGCCGGCCTTCGCTACAGTGAGAGTGGACAGAGACACGAAGGCATGCGGAAAAAGCAGAGGTGGGGGTCTCATCATGTACATTAACAACTGCTGGTGTAACCCAAGTCACGTTTCTGCCAAGGTGCTTCTGTGTTGTCGGGATTTAGAACTGTTTGCCTGCGGCCATATTACTTGCCACGACAGTTCAGTCACGTGATCGCGATATGTGTTTACATCCCCTCGAGTGCCGATGCAGCTGCTGCCTGTGAGAAGATTCACACAGTCACAGCAAGGCTGCAGACCCAACATCCAGAGGCACTCATCATCATTTCTGGGGACTTTAATCACACCACACTGAACTCTGCCTTGCCTGCTTTCCACCAGTTTGTGAACTGCCCCACCAGAAAAAAATGGACAATCGACCTCCTGTATGCTAATATATGGGACGCATACAGAGCCACCCCCTTCCCCCTACTTCGGAAGTCAGACCACAACCTAGTTCTCCTACAGCCTCAGTACATCCCTCTGGTCAAAAGACAGCCAGCCACAACACGCACCATCAGGAGTTGGTCTCCTGAGGTGGAGGAGGCCCTGAGAGACTGTATGGAAACCATCTCTTGGGATGTTCTGTTTTCCCCTCATGGCAAGGACATTGAGGGGTTGACCCACTGCCTGACTGACTACCTGAACTTCTGTGTGGATGTAGTCTCTCCTGCTAAGACTGTTCGTTGTTACCCGAACAACAAACCCTGGGTGAGGCAGGAGGTCAAAGCTGCACTCAACAGGAAGAAGGTGGCCTTCAGGAACAAAGACAGGGAGGCAATCAGATCAGCACAGAGGGAGGTGAAGCTGTGTCTGAAGGAGGCCAAAGACACCTACAGGAGGAAGGTGGAGTAGCAGCTAAGGAACGACAACATGAGGGAGGTCTGGCAGAGTGTGAATACCATCACAGGCTTCAGAACAAAAGCCAGAACAGCAGGGGGGACAGTGGAGGAGGCAAGCAATCTGAATGCCTTCTTCAACCGGTTTGACCAACCCATGACCCCCCCACCCTCACCCTCACCCTCACTGCAGGCCCCCCTTCCCCCTTCCCTCAGTGTGCCTCCCCCTCAACATCAACTCACCCCTTGGCTGGATCCAGAGAGAGCTTGGAGTAGTGTTGCTGAAGGAGCTAGCTAAGGGGTATTCAGCAGCTTTCCAGGGAGGAGACCCCATGGTAGACCCAGAACTCGCTGGAGGAATTACATATTTCATCCAGCCTGGGAACACCTTAGGATTCCCCAAGGAGACCAAATAACTGTGACCCCATACTGCAAGACACACTTTGAAACTTTAACTCAAGCCCAAAACATACATTATATACATATGTAGCTATTATGTAAAGCTAATACTGAATAAGTCTTTTTAGTTGAGCAGTGAGGAGATTTCTGTTGAGTTTTGGTAGAGCAGTAGATCGATTTCCTGAACAGTTGAACTAAAAGCCCAGAACTCAACCTGAGGATGGCCACGATGTGACAAAATAATGAACTGCAACTAATAAACTGCGACTCTGTGTGACAGCTCACCTCTGAGGTGAAGAAAAGTACACAGTGTGACCTGCTGTTAGATCCTGATCAGCCTTCTCCCCATGTCTGGATAATTTCTAGTTAAACCTAATTCATTAAGTTTGGCTGTTGCTTTGTGTGCAAATGTGTGCAAATGTGTGCAACTGTCTATCTTTGGAGATACACTTACGAATCCTATTGCTGTCTGGTGGTGCAGGTATTAAACAAACTCTGGGGCAATAGTTCCAAACAGCTGAAAGAAACTAACACTTTGATCAAACTATTGGTCAGTATCATCAGTAATTTTGTCACACAAACTGAACTTGGCAGACAAAGAGCATCTATATTATGGCACTCTTGAGTTTCCAGTGATGCTAACAAATCTTACTTTTCTGCAATGGAATGATTGAAACACGTGTATCTTTGTCTGCTAGGTTGAAATATATATTCAACTATAACTATCTGTTTTGGTGATGTAGAAAGATGTGTTAATGTGTTAAATGTACTTAAACACATGACCTTATACCTTCTTCTGAATGATTACAATTTACTATAGTTACTGACGTCTATGAACTAAGGAAAGTCAGTAAGGGAACAGACATATAGTCTTTAGTGCACAACTACCCAGTTCATCAGGCCCTGAAAAGACAATGGATGTGTTTAGGGCCCAAATGCACAACAATGACACAGTAGGAACAGTTAAAAATTGTTTATTGTAACAAGTGTTAAGAGTGAAGAGTGGAGCTGGGAGAGAGAATCCAACAAGGAATACCATGGTAGGTGGGTGGCTGGTTGCAGTGTTGTAGTAGTAGACTAGGTAAGCTGGCAGGTGTAGGAATCCTAAGGGAGGGAGTGGTTGTCTGACAGACCACTGAGGAAATGGAGGAACCCAGTGTAATGTGTCCTGTGGAAGGTGGCTGACTGACCATATGGAGACTGAGGGACATAAGCATGCCATGTGATGAAGTGAACGGCTGACTGAATCTTGGCAGTTGGAGCTGGCTGGCAAACAGATGACAGGAGAAGACTTGTAACATGAGGCACAAGGAAGCATGAGATTAGACTGTTCACAAAAACACAAGGAAGCACTAACCGAGAACAGATTGGCCAAGAACATGCTACCATATAATCAAACATAACAGTCTGGCAAGGAGTGGGGTAAGCCAGGTTTTAAATACTGTAGTGGGTTGAGGAAGGGAATAGTTGTACCATAACATGGTAGTGACATATTCGGCCATGTCTCAAAGTAAAACAACAAATTTGCTAACCCATTAGCTAGTGTTAGAAAACAGCTAACATAGCAATTTGGTAGTTTTACATGATAGGAAAGGTATACATTTATTCTGAAATATCAAATGTATATCTTGGACACATGTCTTGCTGAGATATGATATGAGTGAAAATATGTCACTTTAGTGACTTAGCCAGAATATTTCTGAGTGATGTAGCAGACAGGGTTTAGTTACTTAACCAGAACATTTCTGAGTTTGTGTCAAGAAGTAGGAAGATAGTTAACATTATATTGCAAGCTTGACTGCATCCAGTGCTTTTCACTTCCAGACTTCAGTGAACGTGTTCAAAATTCCCTACATTTATACAGCTGGCAACCTGGAACACAGCAGTATGGCACCATCCATTTGATTGAAGCATGTGATCCCTGTGTAAATAAGTTGAATTATACCTATTTTCTCCTATCACAACTTAAGGTGGGATATACCTCTACCTTTTTGACCACCGATCGTCCAACCTGGCCTGGCCAGAGTGGATGGGTGTGATCCATGGCTACGAGATTGAGTATGTCTTTGGTCTGCCGCTGGAGAAGAGACTCAACTACACCCAAGAGGAGGAGAAACTGAGCCGACGAATGATGAGATATTGGGCCAACTTTGCACGGACTGGGTGAGACATCACAGACTGGAAAGAAATACGTGTTATGTACATAGAAATTATGATAAACATTGGAGAAAGTGGAGTACACGGAAGGAAAGAAACAAGTCAATCTTTATTAGTTTGCTTTGCTCTAGAGTAGTCGTAGTGGACCTATGAAACATAAACCCCACCATTAAATAAGGAATTTGCTGAACGGAGTCAGACATCTTCTGACAGAATTTCATTTTCATAAGTAATTGATTTTCCAGTTAGTTTTTTTTAATCCAAACATTACAAATGAAATAATTCTGTGTATCTAAAACTTGTGTAAAATCATTTATGCTTTCAGTCCATTATATCTGGACAACAACAATAAGAATAATAATAATACATTTTATTTGTAATGCACTTTTCATTTCAACAAAATCTCGAAGTGCTACATTAAGGACAGTGGTAGCATTTTTTTTTTACTCTGTCTAGCAAGTGATGAGTGGCCCTGCTGATTCAAAAAGATCCTTATCACATATTGAACTGCTTATTTTGGTGTCAGCTCAGGAGCTATTGCTCTCTGTGTTGTTTGCTATAAGGCTCTGTGGTTAGCAGCATTGATTTTGCCCAGTACTGCAGTGATCCAAAAAAATACACATCAAGGGGCCAAGTTTTTGCTAGAACTGACATTGTTTAGCGATGACGCCGCTGTGGACATAAAAAAACGGCAACCAAATGAAGAGATAATGATATTAACCCTTTTTTGGTCCATTCATTTTTAATTGTAATATCCTTCCTTGTTGTATCTTTCTTGTTGTTGTGTATCTTCTACCCCATCCTCCTGCCTATCAGAAATCCAAATGAAGGGCTGGCAGACAGAGGGAAACGCTGGCCTGTGTTCACTATCAGCGAACAGAAACATGTGGGACTCAACACCGAACCACTGAAGATCCACAAAGGTTTGCGGAACCAGATGTGTGCTTTCTGGAACCGTTTCCTGCCACGCCTCCTCAACATCACTGGTAAATACTATTTGTAAGCACTGCTTCTGCTCAACTCATGACATCTGTTCTGTATGCGTTCACTAGCTCACTTTCAGGGCAGGTGTCCATAAAAGGCTTTCACATGTAAATTGTCAGAAGATACAGGAGCAGAGTGTCAGATAATGCTGTGGTGGTTGGCACAAACAAATGAAGACCACATAACAGAACAGAATTATGACCAGTCAAAGTACCATTGATTGATGCTGGATTTTTCATGGTAATGTATGTTGATATTCTTTTTACTCTTCTCATGAAACGACTGTGACAATGCGATTTATTCCTGATAGATAAAGTGTGTATCATCTCAAAGCTTTATTGATATTACAATATACATACAATACACAGTAAAACTTAAACCATAATTAACCTTTGCAGACTGTATTCAGGCTTAAACAAAATTGGGGGTATTGAACAATAGAATTAAGGATTTTGTTTTAATATTTCAACCTTGGTCACTTTAACAGGAAGCACATTTTTGAGGAGATTTCATGCATTAGAATGTCCAGTATTACTCTTTCGAATGTCACTCAATTACTAATATTGAGTATGGCCACCCCTGACATGGATCAATGTGTTAAGACATTGTGTCGACCAGCTTGTTGATGGTGTCAATGGGCAGTATGTCCCACTCTTCGCTCTTCAGATCCCAAAGTCAGAATTTGTTTCATCCGAGTAACTAGGACTCAGTATGTAATCATTGCACCTGGTCAAAAGTGATTCCTGATGTGTATAAATAGAAACAAAAAGAGAAATATGTCTGGAAAAAATGAAAAAATCCAACTTTATGGGCAACAGTGTATTAGTTTTGGGATGCAATTACAAAAATGTATCTAATTAGTTAGAGACTTTGTCATGAATTAATCTCGATTAATTGCTATCAAATAACAATATTTGACACAATTAGCAAAGTTTCCTAATTCAAATAAATTTGGGTTGAAGACTAAATCAATGAATAGACATATAGTTGAACTTCAACAACAAAAATGTTTATAGCAATATTTGCACATAACCATGGTCTTATCCCAGCTGCCATTGGGATGTTTTTTTCTGGTAAACGCAGCATAATGTACATTTCCAAAGACTGCTGCATATGTTTCATTTTGTATAAAGATATTTTTAAAGAATGCCGATATTTTCTATAGATGCTTAAAATTATCCAGTTATAGCGGGCTGTCAGAAGCTAAGATTTGGGGGATTTAATCGATGCAAATCATTTCAAGATGCTATTACAGTATCAAGTACAATCAATCAATCTCTGTCAGTCCCGGAGTAGCTGAAGTGTAGTCAGATAGAGTCCAAGAGAGGCAGGGGGAGGACGAGACAGGAGACAGGCTGGAGAAAACTGCAGGCGGAGCAAACGCAAGCTCTAACTAAGCACAAACTGGCAGATAATTGTTAGATGGCCTGAGCTGACTGGTAACTGAGTCAACGGTCTAGCAGAGAATGAAGGTCTGAGGCAGGTTTCGTGGAAGAGGGAGATGATTGGAGTCAGGTGGACTGGCCTCCGATGCAGCTGTTCTCCCGCCTGCAATTAATACTCACAAACACACACACACAGCACAGCCACACTGAAAGAGAGAGGAAGCTGACGGCTAAGCAGAGGGGGAAGCAGGGACAGGATCTGACAAAAAAGTGTAGAAGTCACTTTTAATTCATTAATTAATACCCACTGACTGCTTTTTCATCCTGTCGTTTGCTTGCTGATGTGTCTAAACTTCCACATATTCTCCATCATAACTCCAGTTTAATATTTTGGATATCTGGATTTTCTGAAAATATTTAGGTGCCTGCAGGCTACTGACACCTGAATTGACCAAACAGGAACTTCCATGTTGTGTCCAACAGCCTACAATAATCAATGAGAGTCCTCAGGCTCCCTTAATGTGAACTTGCCTGGAAAATGGACGAGAGCGATCAACGGTCAAGGCGGAGTTCGCAGCAGCCTTCAGTCTGTACAGAAGCTTAAAGATACAAAATGTTCTCAAGCAGATTGATAAGTTTGTAGGCATTTTCCAATCATTTTAGTTAGAACAGGGCAGCCTTTAAAAATACTATACAGGCGATCTGTGACCTCTGCACATTTGTTGTTCTTGTTCACATAATTTCTCATGTAAATCGGCGTCAGATCAGTTGCCACTTTACAATAATGTCTTAAACTGAAGATATACAGGTCAATACCTTTCATTACTGATCAGATATTTAGACTGTCAGGGCTGATGTTACAGATGTTATTTTAACAGTCCCTTAGCGGAACTGTTGATGTTGCTAAATACTTAAAGAATCAAACCAGCCAAGTGTTAATAGAACTACATATTGTATGCAGTTTATGATATGTAATCTGAATATACTCATTTTTGATTTATGGAATTACATGTTTTTCTTTAATGTAAAATTAAAATCTCTGTAAATCAACTAATGAAAAGTTGAATCAGCTGTTCAGTCGCCATGGACTGAACTGGGTAATTTTTTTTAAACAAACAGACACACACAGAAACTGAACCAGAATACTTAAACGATTATGTTCTAGCTCTCATTGCTGATCATATTCTCAACCAAAAGTTGCTCTATCCCCCATGATGGCATCTTCCCTCACACCAGTTCATATTACTGAAAACCCTCCCTCTTAAAGTTGGCAACCAATCAAAATGCAAATGATAACCTGTGACTGTGACATCAGCAGGAGACAGCATTGGTGTGAAGCTCTACAGCAGGTATGGCAGTGAAGCTCAACTTTTCTTATCACCGCGCCTCTGTGTTTTCTCTTTCAGACAACATAGATGAGGCAGAGCGTCAGTGGAAGGTGGAGTTTCACCGCTGGTCTTCCTACATGATGCACTGGAAGAGTCAGTTTGACCACTACAGCAAGCAGGAGCGCTGCACTGACCTCTGAGAGCTTCAGCAGAGAGATGAGAATAATGACAGGGATGGGGAAGGCAGAAAGAACAAGCTGTGGCCATTTTCCTCCATAGCCCCTCAGTGAAGTCTGACTTCTTTTTGTTTTGTTTTTTGTTTCACAACACATGTAAACACAGGCACTGTCGATCTTTATTTATATAATTTATACTATTTATTGATGTGTTGGGGTTTTTTTTGGAATTTGTGTCTGTGTGGAAATTAAGGGCTATGGAGGGAACTTGCCATCAGCATCGAGGAGTATTAGAAATGTCAGAGATGTGTCATTACCTCGGGTGTGTGTGTATGTATGTGTGTGTGTACGTATGTTTGTGGCTTGGAAGCCCCACAGTGTAACTCAGACCTTAATCGGCCCATGACACTGCACCACTGCTGGTTGATTGTAAAATCACTTGTCTTTGTGGTCATCTTAACATACTCAGCTTTTGTTTTTTGAGGATTCCTTCTTTCTAACATATCAGGTTTTTTGTTTTGTTTTTGTTTTTTTTTTTGGACTCAAGACCACCGTTTATGTGTCAAGTTTCTGTTGAAGCCTTGCAGTCTTGTTCTTGTTCATTACTACAACTGTGACCACTATTCCCATTACCTGTCAAACATTGCCTGTGTATTTCTCTTTAGTTAAAGCCATATGTTGCACTGAATCCAAGTGTGTTCTTGTGTTAAAAGGCTCCATAAAAAAACATGCACTCCTTACATTTTCCTTAGTGTTAGGAAAACCACTTTATGCTAGCTTGATGTGACATCTAGGTTTGTAAGTTGGACCGTTCCATTACTCCTGTAGATAGTGTATGACATTCAGACCAACTGACTGGTGCCTAATTCACATTACATTTCAGAAGTTCACTTCAGCTCAGCTTGGCAGTTGAACAGAAACAAGTCATGCTGAGGTTTGTGCTCCTCCTCCGCTTTGCCCGTCTTTAAGTGAGCTTACAGCTCAGTCCTTCTTCTCAGCTGTGGTCTGTGTGGGTCATTACCACTGAACAACTGTACTGAATTATGTGTGTATGCACACGCATGATTGTGTGTGTACTATCTTAGATGTGTGTGTGTGTGTGTGTGTGTGTCATTCACTCATTGTCATGTACAGCTGTCATGTATTTCATTAACGCTTCTCTGCATGAGACAGTCTTCCCTTTCTGTTCATTCCAACCCTCACTGCTTCAGTTCAGTCCTGTTGTTTATGTTCCCGTGTCTTTTCTTTCTCATTTGTCCCCTCCTTTTTTAGTCCTCCTCACGAGTGACCTTTCCCTATTTACTTCCCGTCCATTCTTTTTCCACCGCTCTCCTTTCTCCCCCCCCAATCTGTAAGCCATCGTCCCATCTTCTATTCATACTCTGTCTCCTCTCTTTTCCTCTTCTCCTCCTGCATCTGTTCCCATCCCTCTGTTATCCCCCTGTTGTGCACCCCCTCACTCTGCTTTCTACTTCTCCATCTTTCTTTCCTTTAATCTTCCTGTCCCTACTCTGGCTGTCATCTCCATCTCTAATCAACCTCCACCCACCCTCCTGTCTTTCCTACTCTTTTCCTTTCATCCTTCAGTCCCTCATCACCCTCGTTTTTTTCCCACTCCTCCATTACACCTTTATATACTCCTCTTATCCTCTTTCCATCTCCTCTTAATTCCAACTCATTTACCTTTTCTCTTTGTTTTTCTTTAGTTCCTTCCCCATCCTACTCATCCTGCATCACTCTTTCCCTTTCTCCCTCCTCCCTCTGTGCTCTCCTTCCCTGCCCCCTCTCCTATCTCCCTCCGTCCTCTTGCTTTCTTGTTAGTCTAATGGAGGCAGAGTAATTCACTCAGCGGCAAGATAATGTGACAGAGCGCTGGCTCAGCCTCTGGCCTGCCAGCCAACAGAAATGATGGATAGATGGATGGAAAATGGAGGTAAAAAGGCAGAGAGAGGAGAGGAGGAGAGCAGAGCCACGGACACGGCAAAAGGAGAGGTGGAGAAATGATGGAAAGATGAAAAGACAGTCAGAGAAATACACTTACATAACTATAGAAAAACTGTATCTGTGGTTTGCAGCTTCCACATATTACACATGTGGCACTGATAATGTGATAAAGCATTGAAATTGATTTAATTCAGCTGGTAATGACAGAAAATATTACCAGCTGAATTGATGAATCTTGCCAGGCCTTTACAGGGTACCGCCCAGGATTTGATCTTCAAAATACAGCTGCATTGGGTTCCATGATTTCCCAGTGGCTTAAGTGACATGGTTAGCTAACATACAAATACAAGAAAAAAAAAACAAATCTCTAAAGGTTTAATCTTTTGTCCATAAAGACTGGACTATTTTATGTTTTATTTCAAGACTTTTTGTCAACTTGTTTATGTTTAGTTTGACAGTAAAAGCTTTTATCCAGCAGCATTCACACGTAACATTAAAAAGAGTAAAATATGATTTCAGTTATTTCAAAAGTCTAACAAAACATTTGACTTAAAAACTTCTACTGTGCTGATGTTTTGGTCTCATTTTGATGACTTCAGAACCCTGAAAGTCCTGAAAGATGATTTTGTACGTATCATATGTAGGAATGTATATACGATATGCACATCCCCACATATCATATGTAGGAATGTACATAAGATGAGCATAAAAGTAGTTAGTGCATGCAAGTTCCATATGTTAGAAGTATGTTGTTATGTTGCTGGAGCAAGATAGTGTACTTCACAAGTTATAGTCTTGTGTGCATAACATCCGTGTTGCTCCTTCAGTAACCTCGTGGAACAAGATCATTTATGTAACAGCTTAACATGACTCTTATATTCTGGACACTCGAATGACAACTTGTCTATATGCTGTGACACAAGTTATTATGTTGTGGTAACGTGTAAAATTCTCTTCACAAGTATTTTTCTTGTAAGAACAAAACCCCTATGTTGTGCACACAAAATGATAATAATAATAATAATAACTGTGCACTTAAGCTATAATCTAATACCTTCTAGATGTAAAAATATAGAATAATCTTACAGGACTTTGGGGCTTCTATTCTGAACAGAATGCTGCCTTCGCAATCAAACTTGAGTGTGTGAATCACTTGTCTGTGTGTGCCTACCACCCTTAACATCCCAGTGTCTGAGTGTGTGTGTGTGTGCCTGTGTGTGTGTCACTGTACCTTCTGTTAACCTCTTTTATTTCAGCAGTGGGAGGGAACTGAATTGGCGCCCTGATTGGCTGATGGCTGTCCCAGCAAAATGTCTCTGTTGGCATGTGACGCTCCTATTTATGGCTCAGCGTTGTTTAGTTTAGCTTTAAAAAGAACTAAATATGAAAAAAAAAAGGATTGTACCTGATGTCCAAAATACCTGTGAGGAATGCATGTGTGAAAGGCTGTGTGAATGACAGCCCCTTCAGCTCCTCTCATCCAATGGGAGACCCTCTTTAAGCCCCACCTCCTTCCCTTGCCTTCCTATCAAATCCTTGTGCATGTCCTCAAGCCCACTGTCCCCAGTATATCCTAAAAAAACAACCTGGACTGTTATTTTCTGTAAAATTTGTACTTTTCAACAAAAACTATTATCAAAGCAAGTGATATATCTCTAATGTTAGGTATGTTTGATGTTAGCAATAACATAAATACTTCAGTAAAGGAATATATTTGATATTTAAATGCAGTGAAAATAATAACGTGATAATACAGCGATGATGATGGATAGAGGTTGTGTTTTAAAAGCAATATTATTCTAAGTATAAACTACAAATGAGTGCCATAAATATTTTTCTTGTATCTTTCTGTTCATTTGACTTTGTTTCAGTCCTCTGCCTCATCGTTGTTTGTTCCAGTCACTAGTACTATAAGTGTTGAAGGCTTCTGTAGCTTCCTAGTATGTCTCTGTGTATTATGAATGCTGACTTGGTTAAGCTATAGCAACAGAAATAAAGACACCCTGCTGCTTCTGTCCACGTCAACCTTTTATTGAGTCTTTGCCTGCACCATCAGATCCAAACTAGAGGTTTGCATTTTGGTCTGAATAGTAAAAGATTTATGAGCCAAAATGTTTAGGCTACAATATGTATGCTGGAATATAATCACTGTCATATAAACTGCCTGCTGCCCTTCCTATGGTTCATCACAGCATAGCAACTTATTCTAACTCTCTGATTGGTTGTAAGTCGTGCTCATTGATAGATCCAGCCATCCATTTGCTATACTCGCTCTATTCTGTGGATGGTCATGGAGGACTGGAGCCTATCCCAGTTGACATTGGGCGGAAGGCGGTCCATTACAGGACCAAGATAATCACTCACATGCAGACAAAACCCACACAAGCACAGGGAGAACATGCATCTACATATATTACTCAAAACCTTTACAATCACTGTTGTAAAAGCAAAACAAGCAGCAGTAACTTTAAATGCAACTTACGCAGTAATCCACTTTTTTGAGATTATAGAACATTATTTTTTGAAGTACACTGTGTTCGTGTATTAATGGTATGTTAGACTTGAGCTGATAGTTTTTAATGACAGTGAGATTGTAAATGGATTAATATATTAATAGCAGCAACACTGACACATTTTCACTTAAAACACCCTAAACCTTGTCTTTGTTTGTCTGCATCAAGCACATTTGCCGATTAAACTCGTCAGACTCTCCGTCCAGGACATTCTGGGCCTCTTCCCTTCATAACAGACAAGTTGATGATGCTAACTGAGTAGTTCATTGTATCAATTGATTTCTTTGGAAACTACCAACAGAAACTCAAAAAAGAAAGCATAGGCATATGCAGTACAAGGCAAATGTTTTCAAAACACCAGTTCATTGGAAGCTTTTCTTTTGGAACAAAACTGAAGATTTAGGCAGTGACAAAAAAAGGTAAATCATTTCTCAAGGTAGCTGCTCTTTGCTCTGATGACAGCTTTGCACACTTCTCGTCAGTATGGTAACTAGCTTCATGAGGTCAACACTTGGAATGGTTTCAAGGTTACAGGTGAGCCTTGTCACAAGCTGACTGGTCAAATTTCTTGCTTTCTTACTGTGTTCTACCCATCAGCTTTGGTTTGCCAGGATCGCATTAGTATTCAGAAAAGAGACAGACTGTAGAGCAGCTACTGTAGTGATCAATATTATGGCCAGAACCACTCAGCTGAGTAAAGAGGTCCATCAGTCCAACATTAACTAAACTTGAAACATATAGGTGACAGAAAGCAGTCACAGCAACTGAAGGCACGGGGAAGTAGCTGATACATTAGAAACAGCTCTGGTTGCACATAAAAAATGAAACATTTTCGCAGGCTTGATGACTGACATTGGGTCATTATTAATGAACTTGTCTCTGTGCACTCAACATGAAATATCAGTGGCCAGTGAATTGCCAAAGTGTCAGACTACAAACAGGCTGGGTGATAAATTAACTGCCTAGTTGGATTTAGTAGTTTTTATGATAATAACAATAATAAATTATTGTTGGTATTATTATTGATAATAACAATACCACTATTTTTTACAGCATTTTTTAAAACAATTGCTCATAAGATGAGAAATGAATATGATAATTGTGGTATGGTCCTGCTGTTAAACTGTGACAAGAACAGGAGACAGACAAGCATATTGAATAATAAAGTACACATATTTACTTATTAGACAAAAATCAACAGGTTTAGATAAAGCAGGACAAAATCACAGAGTAACCATGAAAAGACGTTATTTATGTGTTTTCAATGCAAGATGATTTTCCAGCAAATTTTAAAAAGCTGAGGTCTTTAACATTTCAAACTCTTACTGGGTCTTTCATTACATTCCTCTTTGGTTGTGCTGCCACCTCCTGGTAATGCAGATTTACATCCATCCATCCATCTATCCACAATTTAGAATCACCAATTAATGTAGCCTGCAGGTTTCAGACTTTAGTAATTAGTAGTCAATCAATTAATTGATTTGCAGTATTTATACAACACACTGGAATGTGCATGTAGCTAGTTTAATAAGTAAACAAAATGAAGTAAAGTCATTGCCTTCGACTTTTTCCAACATAATTTGAGGTTTACATAATCCAGTCTACAAAAACAAGCTGTACCATGTTAACAATTTGAGTGCATGAGATTAACTTCTTCACCCGATGAATTTATCAGATACAGATTCAGTACAACCAATTGTTAATATTACTGTTCTAATCACATTTAATTAACCTAAACACCACACTGATACAAAACAACTTGTCACCATGTGCCAGAAACACAAAACAAATGCACTGTAATGTTGCTACATTTAACTTTTGAGTCAGGCTTTGACTGATTAGCTAGCTTGGTTACAAGTGTTATTGAATTCATGTCAATTCCATGTTACCTGGGAAATGAATTTCATAAGGTCTTACTATGATATGAGATGACATATGTTGTGAATTGCGCTATGTAATAAAATTGAATTGACATGTCTCCTCTTCTCTGGTTGAAACACTCAGGAAAAAAGGTCAACTTTTATGGTGTATTGTACATTAATTTCAATTTTAATTCAATGTTATTTATATAGCACAGTTCACAACATATGTCATCTTACAGTGTTTAACATAGCAAAGTAAAAACCTTAGAAACTTAAACAGAGAACCCGGCAATTCAAAATTACCTTTGGCTTCCCTCTAAACAAGCAACTGCAACATATTGTTAATAATGCTGAAGTTGCACAGCAGTAACTTTATTGAATACTTCTAAATGACCCCAACATGGACAGAGCATCTACCAGCACATTTACATTTTTGACTCTGATTTTGTGTGCGACAGTTCATACAAAGAGTTACAGTTTATTGGCTTTAGTTTATAACAGATTAGTTGTAGGTTCAACAAAAATAATATTATCAATATTATTTCACAGTCATGATCTGTTTACTAAAGTCATAATATTTTGAGTATATTTATGTGTTACAGAATCTGATCTTTATAATCACTGAACTATCCACAAAAATGTGTTGTCAGGTGGTAGAGTGACAATGAAGACGCATTTTATTGTACCATAATTGGCTGTAGTTAGAAAAATTATCAGCATAAATGGACAGAATTGTCAGTGTTGAAATCCTAGATAAACTATGAATGTTTTGCCTACTGATGAACTTTTTCAAACCAAAGTACATCACTGACATCGTTTTCAACTAACCTGTATACTACACAAAAGTAGTAGGATTCCGGAAATTCAGTTATGGCTTTTGATTTTGTGTGCCACCCTAAAACTGACAGAATACAAGGTAGGACTGAAACAAGACACCTCCACCTCCGTTCCTCAGTCTGTCAAGTTCACACATCTGAGACCCGGTCAGACCGGAAACTGCTGCGACGAACACAGGAACGTCATCGCAGAACTAACTGCAATTTTAAGTAATAAAAAGCTTATTGGCATGAAAGATTCAATAAACTATGTCACAAGGACAACAAACTTTGTCCAAATATTCAGCCAACGCAATAATAGTTATTTGATCATTAATGTAACATGAATATATATTAATTACAAACAATTTAAACGTGTGTGTGTGTATGTGTTAGTCATTTAGCCACGTTATGTTGAGTCAGTAAACTATGTTACTATCTATGGTTTAGTGTGTCATCCGCTCAGCTGATCTGATGGGAGCCAGACAGATAAAACCGCCAATGACTTTACACTGATATCAACATTGTTACGTAGTTACAGTGTGTTTTTCATTGTATTTTGCTACAATAAAGTGAATCCGAGAAAGGAAACTCTTTCATTGTTTTCCAAAGCCCCTGTCTTTGTCACATACACTTCAGCTTGTTAAGTGCACTTCTTCACGATCTCACAAATTAACTATCGTTTAGCTACATTCACAAAGTACGCGTTTATTTTGAAGGCGGCCACCGGAAGTTACCGCATTGAATTTTCACTGACTAACTAGTTCCTCTGTGTGAAATTCCTGAAGTATGTCTTTTGTTTGTGTGCCAGGACCATCATTAATAGTGGATATCTAGCGTGATAATTACACGAAGATAAAGGCAAGTGGAGTGTAGAGTGAGACTAGTAAGAGTTTAACTGCTCCTGTCGACATAAATTCCACTTGTTGGTTGAACAAGAAGGCGGCGGGAGCGAAGAAGAAAGAAAGGGAAGGAGGAGGACGATGACTTGGAGGAGCTGAGGGAAGAGCGGAGCTAACTATGTGGAAAAACTTCCAGCTACTCCTCCGCCCGCCCGTCGAGCAGTAGAAACGGTTTTGTTTTCCGGAGAAAGTAAGTTGCTTCTTTTAAATAACTAATGGTGTTTTAGTGCGGTATGATACTTGGGGGTGAGTTAGATATTTCTTCCATAATTGTGTTCAAAGCTCAAAGCAGAGCTGCAGCTTTAACTTTTTTTTTCCAACCGCCACGACGGAAAGAAGGAAAAAGTTCATAGCGAATAATACTTTTCCATGTGGCTGGCTGTGATTAAGACAGATGTGGATGTCCAGACCAGATATGAGTCTCAAGCCAGCCAGGTCCCTAAAGGTATCTCTCTAAGGCCTCATTTCTTCTTAATTACTCACAATTATTGCAATGGCGCAATACAATAATCTGACACGAATCTTTTTTGATGCCTCAGTTTAAGACTTCACTTCTTTTTTCTACGGTTTTGGTTTTATTCAACAACAAGAAAAGATCCATTTTGTACTATATAAATATATAGGTATTACATATTTGCGAGAGAATATGCAGTAGTCCGACAATGTTTAATGCATGTTAATGCAATAACAAACCAAAGACACAATTTAAACTAGTTGCAGTTTCACAAACTGTCCACATAACGTGAAGCCTCATTTATGATTTCCTAAAAATTCTGTCCATGTGTGGTGATAATATACTACTTAATCAACAGTAAAAGAACAGTGTGTCTTGCCATTAGATTCTAAATAGGGATCAGCTGATATGTTTTTGTGTAGGGGTTCTACTTTGTAGGGAATCCATACTAATTATTGGTGATTAGGAAAAAGCAATAACTGATATTTGGAACAGATATACATTAAACATTATATATTAACAGCATGTGTTGGCAGGACAACTGAAAGTCATAACCAGACATCTTTTATAATAAAGATTACTATTACTGATTATGCACATATAAACATTAAATGCTGAATATTAACAGCATGTGATAGCGGGGAACCTGCCATTCATAACAAGATTAGTTTGTGATTGGTCCACCCTACGGACAAGACACCAAGACACAAACAAGCAACATGGTGGACGCAGTCCAGTGCAGCATGGACGTGAAGAAGCCATCTATGTCAAACTGGGAAGGCCATCACTTAACAGAGGTGGAGGTCTGAGGCATCACCTCTCATCTGTTTACAATTCTGTCTTAAGAACTCTCCAAAGGAAGATGAAATCACATTCAGCTAATCCTCAACCAAAGAGCTTGGAGGTGTGGTTTTAATGTAACCACTAAAAACACCACACAGAAAAAGCCTCTGAGGGAGAACAGTGCAAACCTTATTTAAAATATGTGTCACATATGGGCGAATCTGGCGAATCTCCCACCGAGCCACAACAGACCCGAACGAACCCCATTGTGGCAGGGGGAGTACTAGCGACTCGCATAATGAGAGGGAGGAGCAACAACCCCCCAATTGAAACTGAAACTTAAGTTTTAATGGCTCCTTAAGGATATAAGTATCTGGAACTCCCAACTAGTCAGTCAGAGCTGATGAAGCCTCTTGGATGAGAGGTGAAACGTCTTCAAGAAACTCAAGCACGTCCAGCTGCTATGATTAAACTACAATAATCATGACCTGGATGACTGAAAATCTTCACAGACATCTACATGAATATGGATAACTATAACTGAGTATTTACAATACAAATAGGGATGATGATGTGACAGCATCATGATGCAAGGAGGCCTGTCTGTTAACTGTGAGATCGACTGATGAACATTGAACTGTTTTTCTTCTCTTCTCCTGCAATTACATCTATTTTTTTGTCTGCTTTGTAAACTTCATGGTAATCTGTGGGTGTCTCCCAATTTAGCCACTATCCATTAGCATAGCCTTAGCCACTGTGAAAGAAACAGATTTCCTGATTTGTGGTCTTGTTCAGTTTTTCTTAGAAGAGTTATAAATTTCACACGCTCCAGTCTGGCCTTACCCAACAGACAGGCAACATGAAAAGTATTTTTGCAGTTTCTTCAACTGGATGTAAGTCATTATCTCATAGCCATGTTTACTGGCATCAGTAAAATGATGTAGTTGGCTGTGTATGCCTCCTGCCCAAATCCTTGCCAGCAACTCAATATCTCTTAACTAACCTTTCCACTGGTTTAAAATATCCAGTGGCATGGCATCATCTTCTCCACAACTTTTCCTGCAGAACTCTTGCTGCATCAGTTTAGCAGGCAATGGGACTGCCGACATGATTTTCAACAGCTCACACACTAAGCTAGTTACAGACAACATGATGTGTCTAGTTGGAGGATGCTTTTTCACTTCCATCCTGAACTTAAATGAGTCTGACTCAACCCAGCAAAGTTGAGCTACAGCTCTCTCAATGAGAAGATTATCTATATCTAGATTCTTAGCCCACTGCTCGCCTGTGCTTGTCTGCGGCACTGCCTGACTGCTACTCATCCATTCCTCCAGAAAAAACCCACGTATTTCACAGAGAGACTGTTGACCAGGCCAAGCTCATTAAACAATCATCCACATGGAAAGCGTGGGCACTTAAAACAAAAGAAGTCTGCCTTGTTGTCATCAGTAGTTTTAGCTAGCGCAAGTAGGAGATGAAACTGTTAAAAACAAGTGCATCCGAGAGCAATTCGGCTCTCCACCTGAAGTCTCTATCTGGCCACCGGAGAAAACAAAGATCCCTGTCCTGTTTTGCAACTTTCACCTAGTGAATCATATCCTGTACATCACCCATAGCCGCCACAGAGTCCTGCCTGAATAGTGAGGACTTGAAGCAGTGAGCTGGTGAGGTTAGAGCCTTGCAATGTTTGTCTAGAAGTAGTGCCGCAGTGAACCAATACTTGTTGATAGTCTTTACTAGGATGATAGACTCTGTTGTGTAGACCATACCATTTCACTTGACCCTCCAACTCTTGCTGAGGTATTTGCTCAGCCCTTTTCAATAATCCCATTGAGACATATAGAATACTCTTTATGAAGCTGTGGTTACTCACAAAGTTTCTCTCTAATCAAAGCATCATTTTTTTAACCAATGCAAAATTGTTTGATAAAGGCATATCCGGTTTGTTAAGGGGCAATTTCAGACAATACCTCTCATACTGAAGTGTTGTCTTCTCGAGACATTTCCTTGCCCTCTGAGGTCTTGTCATTAAAGCTGTGATTATACGGATTATTTATTATGAGCTCCAAGCTGGATACAATAGATTCCTTTGAACAAAAAAAAAAAGATTTGTTTTTCAAATTTGAAATGAATTCACCCTCAGTTTCAGAGTTTTACTGATTGTCAGCAGGCTACATGATTAGCGCCAGAGGTTTTTGAGCTGTGAACGTTCTCCTCACCTTCCCATATGAAATGACCAGCCCCCCCTTAAGCTACACGTGCTTATATTTTTGGTTGCGATAGTATAAACACACTGATGGTCTAAAATTGAGTAAACCAGATATTTGTAGCAGGTTTTCACAACAGCAGCTCGTGATTTTATTACTTGAAGGAGTGCATGTGTATGAATGTATGGACCTCTGTATAGATGTGTGTGTTTGGGTGTGTGTGCATATGTTAAAGAGAAATTGTTGTGAGCCTTTTGAACTTCTTTGTCAGATTATTTCTATACAAAGCAGAGCTAAGAAAAAACAAGGCTGTAATAACCACTAACTCTATGGTTCTCTCTCAATGTCCCCTTAGATAGGATCCAACCCGACTCTCTCTGGGATAAAACAAGTGTAGCTAAAGAATGGATGGATGTTTAAGTAGCTTCCCAGGTTAAGTGAAAGGGGATGGTGGCTAGAGCCCTGCATTGATCGCCTGCCACTGATTACGGATCTAAAAATGAGCTCTTCTGAAAAAGGAAGGAGGTGGGGTTACAGCTGCTATTGTGACTCTCTGAAACATCTGGATACAACGGTACTCTGTGTAAAACAACAGCAACACTGGCAGAGCTACAGTTAAATCATGTTACATAGCGGCCATTATCAGGTTAAGTGCTGAGTGGCACCGCAACCAGGATATTTTCATTTTACATATGAATTATCGTCACACGTGAACAGAGTTTCCATGTCTAAAAAATCAGCAGTTAACAGGATTATTAGTTAGTAGGGCAGTTTGATAAGCTAGATTAGATGCAGTCTTATGTCTATTAGTGCATTATTATGCCTACATGTCACCTGATGTGCTGTCCAGTCTTGTATTTATGGCAAATATTGTGTGTATTGTGTTTCTCTGTTACTGTTGTGGATATAACTGAACGAAGCCCCGAGGAATATTAATGTAAAAGTAAAATGCTGTCACTTTAGCAGATCGATGAAGCCAGAAATGTCACTTATCCCAGGTTGGAAAAGAGCTTTACAGTCCTGATTTTAGGCAGTCAACTTATGCCGAGCTTTCATCTCTTGACATCATTAACTCTTTGAGCTTTGCAGAGCGTCCTACATATTGAAAATTCTCTGTGTTAAAGACTTTAATGTTTTAACCTACATCATGCTTCCTCCACAGCTGTGCAGATGGAGGGTGAGAAGGAGAAACAGAGGCAGCAGCGGGAAGAGAAAGAGAGCAATGAGGCAGAGGACGACAGGAGGAGTGACGACGACGCTGACAACGAGGAGGGCGAGGATGAATATTCTGAGGGGGCAGCCCTAGTCTGGCAAGAAGACTATGGCGAGGATAATCTGGGGCTTCCCATCATGCACTGGGAGGCGCTGAACCTGCGCATAGCTGAGTTGGAGAAGCAAGAAGAGGAGAAGAGAGAGAAGATGGCAAAGGTCAGAAGTCATAATTTGGAAGAGGCGAGTGTCTTGCTTAGTCCTAAAGTCAACTGTCCAGAGTTTTATTGTTTCAGTAATTTAGCTCTCAAAAGAAAAAGCCCAAAACATTCACAGTCTTTTGAAGGATTGAGAGTGTCTGGGTCTACTCTTGAGAGGAACCTTCCTGCAAACTTTTGTTACGTTTTCTATCCCAGACATGAGTTCAACTCGAGTTCGGTTACTATGGTAACTTAATTTGTTCTCCCACATGAGGACTAGTGTTGTCACGATACCAAAAATCTGAATTCGCTACGATACAGATACTGAAATGATACCACAGTAAAAACTGAAAACATCAGGGAAAGTAATGGACAACATAACAGTCACTTTTAACGCTTGAATTTGCAGCCTTGTCTTGTGGCTCTCAAAGCTGCCAGGAAGAAGAAAAAGGCTGTTGTCACTCCCACTGTGTCACAGGGAGTGGAAGCATCCGCTGCAAACACACACTGCTCCTCTCACACTCACACATTGATGCTAATGATCAGAACAGTTTTTCTTAGCAAACACTGCTGATCAATTAAAGCATAGATGCTAATACAATAGGATTTAGTATGGTTTGTAACTGCAAGGAATCACGCTACTTTTCTAGTATGACACATAAATCTGTGACACATTAGACTTACAGAAGGATGGTACATCTACAAGCACTTCTAGACCTGGTTCATAGATCCAGCTGATGTTTTGGAGTTCACTTTTTAAAAGGGGAACCTTGATAATAAAAGTTGTGTGTTTAGTCTGCTGGAACCTTCTAATATACATCACAATGTACAATCTACAGTCATTTAAACAACACAGGCTGGTCTGTCTAAAAATGTTGTAAGAAATCATTCGAGATGGTTGTATGTTCTAGGATTCTATGAGACTCCTGTAGAATCCCAAAAAACATGGAACATACAAACTTTGTTGCATCAGATGTGTTGCTTTTTTCATAGTCATTTGCCAACAAAATACCACATTCAATCGAAATAAAACTGTCAGTCGCCACATAGAAATCATGATTTTAATTTCTCTGTTTTGTTTCAGGAAACATAGCTCAGTACTTCTGTCATTTTTTTGCTAGGCAACATCTGGCTAGTCAGGAAGAGGTTCACCAGGTTGAGGCAAGAATTCTATAATCCTGATGAATTACAAAACAAATTTCCAGATTCGCCCATATGTGACACATATTTGAAATTAGGTTTGCACTGTTCTCCCTCAGAGGCTTTTTCTGTGTCGTGTTTTTAGTGGTTACAGTAAAACCACACCTCCAAGCTCTTTGGTTGAGGATTAGCTGTACTGGTGCTTTCATTTAGAATAGCATTGGTGTGAGGCTCAAACTACTAAAAGTTAATAATCACCTTCTAACCAACAGAATCAGCTTGAAGGAATTTTAGCCTCTAACGCCGAATAGAACAGCTTTAACCTTGGGTCGTTGGTGGGTTTACTCACACAAACTGCCAACGTCAGGTCCTTTCGCAACATTTCTGCTGGATAAGGGTCTTTATGAAACATTGCTTTCTCTCTTCTTCAAATATATTTGGTTAGAACAACTTGTGTGTTCATCGTTGTTGTCCTGCTGCACTTTCTCTTGAGATTCAGGTCAGGGACACATGTCCTGACATTTTCCTTTAGAATTCACTGGTACGTGTCAGTGTTCCAATGATTCAATAATGGCAAGCCATCCTGGCCCAAGTGCAACTAAACACGCCCAAACCATGATATCATCACTTTCTCTTCATCACACAGATGGGATGAAGTTATGCAGGAATGCAATGGTTTCCTCTCTGAAATCATAATGCTTCATATTTAAACCAGAAATTTCTATTTTGGTCTCATCAATCAACAAAACTTTTTTTCCAATTGCCTTCTGGCTTGTCTGTGTGATTGTTCACAATATTCACACAATATTCTTTTTAGAAAGCAGTGGCTTTCTCCTCACAGTCCTGCCATGCACTACATTGCTCTGTTTTCTCATGAACATTAACTTTACTCAACGAGAGAGAGATCTTTGGATGCTTAGACGTAACCCTGGCTCCCTGTGTGGCCTCACAGACTATCATACACCTTGCTCTTGGAGGGATTTGTTTGTTCACTGGTCCCAGAGAGGCTAACAATGGTCTTGAATTTCCTCCATTTGCACACTGTCTGTCTGGCAGTGGTTCAGTGGAGTCCAGACTTTTGTTTTCTAACCTATTGTTGCTCGATGAGCATCAACCGCTTTTTTTTTTCAGATGACAGAAAACACCTGACTCCAATTTCATTTCATATGCTCAGTTACATTAACCCTTCACCAACCACAGTCACCAGTCTAACACATGGCTGCTGTGCTTTTTTTTTAGAGTGGCGTTTCTCTTGAGCGAGGCCGAGCCCCAGTGAGCTGGACAGAGGGGAGAGGGAGGAGAGCAGAGAGCTGGGAGAACGGAGACGACACCTGCAACAGTCCTGTGCTTGCACTCACCTCCCGGTACACAGACTCGCCTCTTATGTGTTACAGGACAGCCATTACTCATGAGCATACTGGTGCCATTTGGATTTGGCGTGTATTGTCTTTTAGTCTAACATGCACAATTTGATGGTTGAGATTTTGTTGGTGTAATAAATGAAGAATAGCAAGAAAAATCTAAAATGGTATTTTAAAGCCATATGTAAAACATCAGTATATAGCAGCTTGTTTATGGTCTCGTTGTTTCGGACTACTTGCAACCTCTTACGTGTAGTGTTGTGTGGGTTACACAATTTAGCTTAATTTATTTTCAATTGTAATTAATTATGTGACACATTAACAAGATGTTTGCTGTTTGCTGTGGCCACAATCTGCTGTAGACTAAAGTTAATGCACTAATAATCTTTGAGTATGAGAACTAGAGGTTTGTTTGGAAGAGCCTCACCACTTGCACTGATTCCAGTTCACTACCCTGTCTGTTTAAAGTGAACTAAGTGGCCAATTGGGGAGGCAGTGCAGTAATACCCATCAACATCAAAGCTTTGTGTTAGAACTGAAACTAAAAAAAACAGGCAATAAAACTGGAAAAAGAGTGTATTATGGATAACAAGCCTGTAAAATTGATTTAAGTACTCAGCAGTACACAAGACATTCTCATACTGCTCCATCCTTAAAATGCTAAGCACAAATAATACAAATAATTCATTAATATGCATAATAATATGACGGGGATGTTGGTTAGTCCTGTGATGACTGTCTCATGCCAAGACTGTCCAGCGCTGGCCAGCTGGAGCCTCCCTGTCAGAGTGTTTACATTCACTTAAGTAACTAGGTTACACATGGGTTTCCCTTGAGCTGCTTTCTGAACTGTTGCTTAAAGGAAACAGGTTTTCCCCAGGTAGATTTTATGTGATGTTTAGTCATAGCAGAGTTTCTAAGCAGCATTTTACAAATATGCATGATGCAAGCTCACAGACAGCGAAAACAAACGAGTGTCCTTGTCCTTGTATTTGAAATAATCTCATCCAAACTCAAATTAAAACGAAATTCAATGAAATGTTTCATCTAGAAGTCAAAATAAGTCAGTTTTCCCTTTTGAAGTTTTCACTTCATCACACATCCCCAGTGTGTGAGAACAGTCATGTTGTATGTTTTCAGATGTGTTAGTATGTCTAGAGATTATACCTGAAACAGTGCGACAACACTGTTCTGGCTGGAGGTGATATTTGTTTTAAAACACTATTTTAAAATGAGAATTCTGAAATATCTTGAAAAAGTAATAACATTTATCTGAGGTTAAAAAAAACTAAAAGCTGATGTAGAGATAAAAATAACATGTGACGGTGCAATATGGAAACAGATTTGGTATTCAAACAACATCATACATTATTAATGACTCCATGCAAAAACATCAGGTCTGTTTGGAGTGATGAGGAGCCTGGAGCCTTCATCACATTAATACGTGGAGCTGACAGAAATTCTGTGTTGCGATCATGTTTTTCACATCGTTTGAGCTTTGATTTGAGCTCTTTAATTGACCTTAGCTTGTTTTGTCCTTTTCCTCTGCAAGAGTTTAACGGCACCAAGTGGAGAAAGAGCTCCACCTGTTGTAAATGTCCATCAACTAACTCCTAATGTTCACATGGAAGTAGTGGAATGAAAAGTCCAATTTATATGTCCATCCATCCATTATCTATACACCACTTAATCCTCACTTGGGTCGCAGGGGGGTTGGAGCCTATTCCAGCCGACTTAGGGCGAAGGCAGGGCCAATTTATATATATTTTTCTTATTTTTATTTTTTTTCGAGATTTTTTTTTCGAGATTTTGGTAAAATTCATTCAGTTTGGATGGAAACCTGACTCAATACGTGATTAGTTGCACTTCTTACACATGGACTATTCGTTTTACACTTTTTTTCCTACTGTGAGCCAGGAGCCTGGGTAGTTGTCAGAAATACTCCTAAATAACCACAAGTATAAGTCCAGCATAAGTATATTAATTTTTCTTTATCCCTCAGCCTGCAGACACAGATGAATCTCCAACTCTGCTTCATCAACAACAGCGAAAGTGAGGAGGAAGAGGAGGAGAACAGTGGACAGATCTGCAAGGCGAGTAACTCACACTGTTAGATTTGAGTTGTAACTGACTAATCTCAGAGTTAAAAATATGTAAAGAAGAGTTAAAAAAAATGTCATTCCTGTGTATGCTCACATTTTCCCACCCCCTTGTCCTTCTCTACATAAAGAGAGGGACGGTTCAGGTTCATAAGAGTCCTCAGCCTCTTACCAAGCCAGAGAAACCAAAATCAAGAGGCTTCAGGAACACTCTGAGAAACCTACGAGACCGACTGAGAACGGACCACAAAACAATGGTGGGACAAATGTTACTGGTTAGAGGGAAACACATCAGCATATTGAAGTAATGCAACCGTTTCTAAATTAATTTCCAGATCTGTTTTATGACACTGTTTCTCCCATCTGCTCTCCTCTCTTCAGCCTGCAGCTCATATTGATCCTGTAGTCCAGCGGAAACATTTGGAACTCAGTGATTTGCAAACTTTCAGTATCAAAGACCTCAATGCTCTGTGTACATCTTTCAGCAAGACCATTCAAGGTACTCTGCTACTTTACTTTAATCCTAACCATTCTGTAAGAAAAGCCTCTTTGCTATTTATAATCCAAACGCACCACATATCAAAAATGCTGCTTCAGCTACATTTACATTGTCATATTTTCATGTGTCTGCGTCAGACCTGAGCTCAGAACTGGTGAGCCGCCTGCAGACTCGAGACCAGCTGAGGACGGAGCAGGATGCCATGCTGCTGGAGGTGCAAGATCTGACATCACTGTAAACCTGCCAGAGTCATCCCCCGCACTGCTAAAGTTCGGCTGTCGAGCAAGTCCCAGTCCGTAAGCATCATTAGTAATCAGACGGCACCACAGGGGCTTCCACAAGCATCTCAGTCAGTCCCTCCTGCTGTTGGTCTGACCAGCCACTCACTGTGAAGAGTGTCACTTCCTGAAAGGATTTGGACATTCAATTAGATTCTTTTTTTTTTGGACATTGTCTGTGTTTTAGGTTTTTAGGGAAATTTTGCTCTACTAAAGGCCAATTCATGGTTCCCGCTTCTGTGTGCACAGGCCGATGCTGGTCTGCTCCACGGCCGGTTTCACTCCCCCTCGTATCGAACACAGAAAAACAAACGGGGAAGGAGGAGGAGCTGCTTCCAGATAGGCTGTAGCACCGTATCACTCCTGAGGTGTACCAAGCACAGTGTGTGAACATAGCAAAGGATTTCTGGAGAAATGAGGACTTTGCACTGTGTTTGGGCTTTGTCAATGAAAGCATGTACACACAGAGCTCCCCTGAAGTCCAGCAGCGACTGCTTTTAATATGAGTCCTTTAATGATGAATTCTAAAGGTTTGGATGACAGAGTATTTTGTCACACAGTCCCTGCAAATACCAAACATTTGTTTTAAGTATTGCTTGTTTCTCTGGATATGCATATCCAGTGGATGGTGGCCTTAACTGACCTTTTATTTTTTGTTTTTTTTGTAAATATCTCCCCTTGCTACCCTACCCAATCAGATTAGACGATAAATACCTGCTACATCTCTGCTTTGTCCACAACACATAAAGGGTAGGGTCATGTTAAAACTGGCTAAATGCCAAGACTGGAAGCAAGTGGAAAATTTTTGAAAAACTATCCAAAAAATTTGTGTGAATAAATTTTCTATGGGGAGCAACATACAAAAAGTCCAAGTTGAAATTGTACACATGTACACCGTTTTTTGTTTGTTGGGTTGTTTTTTGTTTTTTTGTTGTTGTTGTTTTTTTTGCAGGATGATGCTTTTCATGCAAGATTGTTTTTGTTACAGTCAGGAGATGAGAGGGATGTTAAGTTCAAAGTTGGATTGTGATGTTTTATTTTGTTTACACAGCCACTCAGTCTTGTTGTACATGAGTGAAAAGAAGATGTTCTGTCTCTCACCTTTATGTGGTTACATTAACCTCAGCCTGTGCTCAGGAGTCACATCATTCAGTACACAATGTGGACAAAAAATGTGACAAACAATTCTGAAGAAGGATCCAGGAGGTTGTAACTACCTGCATGTTTCCTCTCAGACATATTACTGAGCTCATCATTTTCATTTTCTTCAATGAAATGGTCAACCCAGTGCTAATGAGTGCCCTAACCACTAGTTACATTGTGGGCCAATGCAGGTCCCTGCTTTCTGTCACGTACATTAGGAGACAGCATGTTTGCCGCATAACAGCATGAAGCAGATCTAAGCAAGATAGATTGATATTAACAGTATTGACCAGCAGCTTTTATTCCTCCATGTATCCTGTTCAACTGTTGTTCAAATGTCATTGTGAAACTCTGTTAGTCAAATAGTCATGCGTTGCAGTTCCACAATGATGTCGCCCTACTTTAAAGTGTCAACAAAAATAGTAGGACAATAGTTTTGTAAAAGACAAATGAACCACCAATCCAAAGAAAGGTACTGATGTGTAAAGTGAGGGTTCTATTTCGTGAACACAGTTAAAAATGTTTTTAAGTTTTGCATCTTGTGTCAATTTTTTAAACAGTGATGTAAAACAGACTCATTTAAAATCTGAGAATTCTGCCAACTGAACAATCTGTCTTTGTTTTTTGGTTTGTGTCAAGTGTCGTTCTGTTCTCTGGTCTTGTCAGACAGATTTTTTTTTTTTTTTTAAATCCATGCTTGTCTCCAAAGACTGTGTGGTGGGGTTAGTAAAGAATGAAATGTGCACAAATGGAGAAAAAAAAGGTGCTACAAACGAAATATGTTTTTATTTTCATTCACCTATGCGACTTTTGGTATGTAAAATAAGATTTAAAAGAAATCTTTTTATAATTTTATTTTTCTTCTGGTGACTGTTGTGACACAGCCTTTTATGTCGTCGTCCCCCAGTCCCAGCATCATTTGCCATCAAACTGGCAACACTTCCTGCTTGTGTCACAGTAAAAGCCTCCTAACATCTCATTTGTGGTCTCTGTTGGTCTGTTAGTGTGAAACATCACCGGGAAGTGACTTTCATTCACAGGACCTTAACATTAGGTTTAAAAATAGCTGGGTAGAAACTGTTTTAAAAATGTAATTATGCTGTATTTACTATGTGCACTAACAATTTAAATGAGTTTTTCTGTGGCAGTTATTAGAGACTGGAAATTACTTGAATAGCAGCTTTTATGAGATGTGATCAAAAATGTCTGAGGCTCCACTTGTAAAAAGCAAAAAGCATGCCTTCTTTATATTTGGCCCCTAACCTGTTCAAACTAGTCTTCTTGTGCAGCGCTACACTGCTACCAGCCCTCCTGCTACATTGGGAATGCTCTCTGGAAGCCCAGCATGTGCATCAAGTCCCATCTGCGACTCACACTGGATCTCTTCCATTGTGACAAACCAGCGACCGTTCCACCTGAACCTTTTGCGCTGTGGTGGTTGGTTGTTAGCAACGAATGTTCTGCATCGCGTGCTTCAGGATGCTACAGTATAACTCTGTGTTGACAATCTGACCGTGGGGAATGAATTTATGATGTTGAAAATTATGAGCATGTGCTTAATGTGCCCCTGACCTCACAATACCCCTTTAGTGGCTGCCATAGATCTGGCTCCTGTCACTAAGGATGATCTTCAGTTGGATTATCCTGCAGAATCTGTTGCCTGTGCATGACTGTTCCATACTAAATTTGGGTACAGCAGAATATATATATATATATGTGTGTGTGTGTGTGTGTGTGTGTGTGTGTGTTATTATATGACTCTACATACACAGTATCAGTGTTGTGGACCAAGTGGTAGCTATTTCTTTTTTAAGGGGCCTCGACACAGCAAAGCAAGCTCAGCACTGTGTGTCAGGACCTCATGACAGTAATTCAATTCAAATAACTTTATTTATCCCGTAGGGGCAATTCAAAAGCTCACTGAGTATTTAATATAAAGACAAAAAAATATATCAAAGTGTAAGCGCTCATTACAGAACAATCGTGTAGTATTTTTAAGGCAGAAGTCAAATAACCTTATCCTGTTTTCATTTTGTAGTTGGTGTCACATTTTTATAACTTTTTAGGACTATACTGACTTCACATCGTAACATTTTCATCATTTGATCATCTCTCAGCCAGCCTTTCCCATTGTGATCATAGTTTCTACTACGGATATTGCCTTTATTTGAAAATGATCACATCTGTAATCCAAGAGAACTCCATCTGGATTAAATAAACCTGTTCAAAGAACCAGTTTAGAATTAGCAGAATCAATAGATCTGGCTAACATATCAGCATAAAATAGTTACTTTTTATGCTAGGCTCCTTGTTTACAAGTATTTACAAACTAACTTCAGAAAAACCTTAATTTTTTAGACTTTGTGGTTGTATTATGTTTATTAAAACAACCATCATTTAATTTCAGAGGGATTGCAGTTTGCAATACTGTGTTTTTAATTTTGGTGGTGGATCAACAGTTTGGTTTACTTTTGACTTTGTGTTGTGCCATAAGAAAAAAATGTTTGTCTCGTCAGACATCATTTAAGAGAAAAAACATGTGAGCAGTGTGTTGAGATTGAGCAGGCTGAGATGAATAAATTGTTGCCTGGCTGTAAGTCAGTCACACTGTTTGTCTTTGTATGGATCCTACCAAATAACACACTAAATTTGGCATGTGTGGGTAAAGTGGGTACTGCAACTTTGTGATGCAGGGGGTGCTATCAAGTCATTTTGTTCCACTGATAGCCAAGTCCCATTAAAAAAAAGTTTTTCCCACTTCTGATGCATGTGCAAAGTTTCACTATTTTTCAAGCACATTTCGTTCCTCAAATAATACTTAAAGCTGCAAAGAGCAATGATCGGACTGACTCACCTTCATGCATGTCAGGGCAAGCCTTAGTTGAGGGGTTTTATCCAGACATGTAGATGCCTTTAGGTCTGGACTGTGGATGTTTAAAAGTGACATATTCACTTCATGTAAATCAGATGATGTATTTCACACGAGGCTGACTTTTGCCAGTAGGTGGTGCTCCGACTATGACAAACATTTTCATGTAGGCACGTTCAGGCTGAGACTCAAATCAAGAATGAGAAATTTAGGGCAAATTAAACGATGCAAAATGTCGAAATTTGAAATGCCTCGAGGGCTAAGCTGTTTAATGATAACTCATAATTTTCACAATAAAGCATCATTAAAGTGTTAAGGATTTTCTTACCATTGTTTAGGGAGATTTGGGCAGGACGAGTATGTCAGTATGAAACATGTCATTTCCTTTTGCTAGTTGGTTGCAATATAACTGAAAAATGACATGTAGATGTTTTTGTATGAGAAGTCGTTAAGGCCAAAATTTGATACTTCACTTGCAAATATATTTACAATTTAATTTAGTAGACGCTTTTATCCAAAGTGACGTACATCTGAGAGTCAATACACATTCATACACCCATCGTGACAGAGCTGCCATGCAAGGTGCCTGCCTTCCATTGGGAGCAATTTCGAGTTCAGTGTCTTGCCCAAGGACACTTTTGCTGTGGAGGGGTAGGGGAACCTCCAACCTTGCTGCAACCTTGCTTAGAGGACAACCCGCTCTACCCCCTGGGCCACAGCCATCTAAATATGTATATACTCTCACACACGTGTATACGTACCTAGACAACCTAGAATTCAGTGGAGGGATCTGGCCCGGGAATGCTTCGGGATCCACAAGAGGAGCAGGAAAGTTTTGTTAGGGAGAGGGTTGTCTGAAATGGCCTGCTTGGCTTCCTGCATCATGAATCGACCACAGATTAGCCAAAGAAAATGCAGAGAGATGGCAACAACATAGACATAATTGTCTGCAAATTTTCATCTGGGGGTCTTATGCTGAGTATAGAGGACAAAAAATGACAACTTCTAAAGAAAAATACGCAATTTGAACAATGTTGTGCTGCAGTTTATCACTTACAAATGTGCATGACAACTTACAGATCACAGTGTATCTGCGAAGGCACAAAACAGTCACAAGTATCTGGAACTGAACAATATAACATTTTATGATCAAAACACTTGTCAAGATCTAGAAATTATTTTCCATTTACATTCCACATCTGTGCAGTTACCCTACCACCTGAACTGACACACGACACCATACAAACTGAAGTGGGAACTATTAAGGAACACTTTGCAAAATCATCCCGTGGGCCAGGTTGGACCCTCTGGCCAGTTTTGGCCAGTGGTCCATATATTTGACACCCCTGCTCTAGCATCAGCACAACTGGATGGGTGAGGAAAGTTTACGCATTCAAGTGGACCAGCTGCATTGTTCAAATGGCCTCTGATGCTGATATCTATTGGTTGCCAAAAGTACATGTTCTGTCTTCTCTGGCACTATATAAATTAATAAATAAAGCTCAATATAGACAACGTGGAAGCAAATTGTAACTTTGTACATGTAAACAGACTCCTATGCACATGTGTCAAAATAGCAAAAAACAACTTATGTACAACTTTCCAACAGTCTTGAAGGACTTCCCAGAGGTGCTGAGCACTTGTTTGCTGCTTTTACTTCACTCTGTGGTCCAATTCATCCCAAACCATCTCAACTGGGTTTAAGTTGGGTGACTGTAAAGGCCAGGTCATCTGACGCAGCAACTCCATCTCTTCCCTTCTTGGTCAGATAGCCCTGACATAACCTGTAGGTGTGTTTGGGTTCATTGTCCTGTTGAAAAACAGATGATGGTTCCAGTAAGCACTAACCAGATGGGATAGCATGGTGCTGCAGAATCTATGGCAGCCATGCTGATTAAGTGTGCCTTAATTTTGAGTAAATCATCAACAGTGTCACCAACAAATCACCCCCACACCATCATACCTCCTCCTCAGTGCTTCATGGTGGAAACCACACATGCACCATCCACTGACTGTCTCTGCGTCTCACAAAGACACAGTAGCTGGAACCAAAAATCTCAAATTTGGACATATCAGACCAAAGTACAGATTTTCACTCGTCTAATGTCTAGTCCTTGTGTTTCTTGGCCCAAACAATACTCTTCTTCTTGTTGTTCACCCTCAGTAGTGGCTTCTCTGCAGCAGTTTGACCATGAAGGTCTGATTCATGCTGTCTCCTCTGAACAGTTGATGTTGAGATTTGTCTGCTACTTGAACTCTGTGAAGAATTTATGTGGGCTCTAATCTGAAGTGCTATCAATTTGCAGTTTCTGATCCTGGAAACTCTAATGAACTTGTAAACTGGGGCGGTCCTCATGAGAGCCAGTGTCATCATAGTGCTTGCTGGTTTTTGCAACTGCACTTGACGATACATTCAAAGTTTTTTACATTTTCCAGATCGACTGACCTTCATGTCTATAAGTAATGATGGACTGTCATTTCTCTTTACTGAGTTGAGTGGTTCTTCCTATACTTAATTACAACAGTAGTCAAATAGGGCTATCCACTGTGTACTAACCCTGCCTCTACACAACACAACTAATGGTCTCAAACACATTAAGAAGGCAAGTGATTCCACAAACTGACTCTTGACAAGGCCCACCTGTTTATTCCAAACCATTCCAGGAGACTACCTCATAAGGCTGATTGAAAAAATATAGAGTGTGCAAAGCTGTCATCAAGGCAAAAGGGGGCTAAAGAATTTAAAATCTAAAACATATTCTGCTTTATTTAACTTTTTTAAAAATGTATTAGATAATTCCATATGTGTTCTTTCATAGTTGTAATGTCTTCAGTATTAATCTACAATGTAGAAAACAATTAAATTAAATAAAAACCATTGAATGAGAAAGTGAGTCCTTATATACAGGAACTCTCTGGGTCCCAATGCCACTCTCCTTTGAACACTTTGCACTTTTTCCCCCATATAAAATGGACAATATAAACATTTTGATTAATCTGATGAAAACTATTTTGTGTGTGTATTCACCAAATTTAATGGCAATGGGACTTATGTTTCTGAATATGTTATATATATATATATAGGGTCCCAAATAACAAATGAGTAAATTCTGAACACAATCTAAGACACTGCAGAAACACTGCCATCTGAAATCACACGGTCTGGCAGCATGTGTTTTCACGGTAATCAGTCTCTATTGCAAAACATCAAGCTTAGCTACACAGATGAGGGACACACACACAAAGGTGAAGTGGGGAAGAAGAATTGGATGACATGCAATGAGGGACAGAGGGAGGGATTGGATTGCCATAGAAACTGCTCTGACTGTTCAGAGAAGCAGCAGAAAAAGGTGAACGCTGAAGTGGTCCAACTGTCAAATTCACTGATAGCTGAAGCTGCTACACTGATTACAGCTGCAGTTTGCTGACTGCTTAAATAACCAGGGAAAGGTGTCTTTTCAAGTCATTCACATATACTGTACCTGCACTGAGAAGCCTTTTGGATGTTTTTGCATTTTCTTGTGAGTATTCGGATGAGAAACAGGACTAATATGGAGTAAAAGTCATCGCTGGCAGGTAAGCTTTTTGTCCAACCGCAGATTGCAGTGATGTAGGTATTTATTAGTTTGATGCAGTTCCCTTCGCCCAAACACTAAGCTACTAATGTATCTCTGGAGATTTCTCTGTGGTTATTTTTGGTCCAAAACCCTTGCCAAAGCAGTAAAACAGGTCTTTTTTTTTTTTTTTTACCATGAGTTGAAGAGTTCCTTTTAATATGAAGTCTATGTACATTATCCATTTGCTGTGAGAGAGACATATTTTTAATTCAAAAGCAGAATATACGCCAGGCTGGAGTTTTTGCAGCCTGTGGTGTCTCAGAAGCTGTTATCTGCTCCAGGAGAACGTCCTCTCTATTTAGCATTTATTTTGCCTGGAGAAGGAAAAAAGTGTTCTCATAGTTTTACGATCTTTAACAAAACTGAAATGAATGAGTGTCTGTGTGTCCTTAACAAGTCACTAATTTAGTTGTACAAGTATTAAGGCCTGAAAACATCATGGAAAACTATATTTGTTCTTCTTTTACACTTTCTCCTAAAAGGCCAAAATTGATTCAATTCTTATTTATTTGCTTTTAACAAGTTTCTGTCTGTTATGTAACTGTGATGGAGCTAAATGGCCAAAAGCAAATGTGCATTTGTGCAAAACGTCTTACATATACACACCTGTATTTAAAAAGTTTTTAGTTTTTTTTAAAACAAATTTCAGCTCTGGCAGCTCTTTCTTTGTGTATAATTTACATGATGACCCTTTTTGAATTCTGTACATTTCTATCTTTATGATTTTTCCCCTACCGTTTCATATATCCATTGATATCCATTAATACACATACAGTATAAAAATGTGTAAGCAGACTTTTATCATACTACATCACAATATACATCCAATCCAAACATTAAGATTCACAAGTCTACAAATACTATTTCAAAGTAAATATGTCTCATTTCAGGGTGCCATTGGTTTATTTTAATTTGTATGTATTGTATAGAAATCCATTAGCAGACTCTTGAAACAACTTGATAATCCATTACAGAAAATGTCAAGTCTGCATTCATTTTTCTCTCTACCACAATTGCATGTGCTGAAGTGTCTTTGTCAAAGCTAACTTTGAACATTACATTTCTTTAAATGATCTATGACAAGTTTCTCCGCAAGTTTTTGAAATATGTTATGACAGAAGCACATCGTTACAGTGATCCTTATTTCTTCAACCAGGTTTCAGATCAAAACAAGATAGCTACACATAGCAATGCAAGTTTGTTTTTGAATTCATTCATTTCGGACTAAAATTTATGTTTTCTCTATGAATCTAAAGCTCACACGGAAAATATTTGACAATTAATTTGAAATTCAGACACATCAACCCTGTAAACACACTTATGTCTTCACTATAGAACCCTTCCCCTTGCTTTGCTGTTCTACAAGATAGGCCAGAGGTAGTCTTGGATAACCTAAAACACAACACAGTTAGCAATGTAAACATGATTAGTAGTAAATGAAATAAAACATTCAAAAGGTCTTTTGGTGTCTGTTTTTCTGAAGTATTAATTTATACATCTATCATCAGATTTAAGGTACACGTACTTGCTTTGAGTTGTGTAATCAATCAGTCAACCAATCAGAGAACAGCAAGGCACTGCACACTAATTTGCCAAAGTAACATTACAGCTACATCATTTTAACTGCAGTAGCATATGATAATACCCCATTGACAGAAACAGATGCAGACTGATTATGTTTGATCAATTACGCAACTCAAGTAACCGTAATGCTGATTTTCATATTGTGTGGAAACCAATGGATGTTTGAAGAGTTATAAAAAGTCATCCAAATCCCTCAAGTAGTCAGCATCTGTACCTAAGGAATTAAAATGATTAAAGTCAGTGTTTTTTTTAAAAAGGGTTATGACACAACCTGATGCAAATGAATAGTTTACTGCAGCAACAGGAGGTTACCTCATTAACCATTAACCATTGGATCAGTTGCAGAGCAGAAAGCAGTTCTTGAAAGTAATACTTTTTGATTTTTTTCGCCTGAGACAGAATTGTTAAACCATAGCACATCAAAGAGGCCGTCACATGCTGTGAGGTCCTGTTTAGGTTATAGGTGGTACCCTTTTACATGTTATTTGTGTTGTGTCACTGTTAATATGTCATGTTACTGGTTGACACATTACCCTTATTTACTTGAACTCTGTTATGGAGCGCTGGTACAACCTGCGGATGACTTGTTTAATACTTGCACAAGTGTACAATTGTACCCTTGGGAGTGTTTCAGCTGTGAGCTGCAGAGGCGCCTAAGTGAATCATATTTGTTTGAAAAATGTTGACTGTGCTGATGTTACCCATCATGCTACACGGAATAAGACTGCACTTTGGGGTTGTGAGGACAGCAGTTAGTTATAGTATATAGTCAGTTGAGTAACAGAAAGACCATTCGATGCATGGAGAGACTTAAGGGAAGTGTGGTTACTTATTGCTGAGTTAATGGGGTGAGAAGGGACTGAATCAGCAGCATACCCTTGTACACAGGAAGGCAAACATGCACTACGAATCAGCAGCATACAACAGGAGGTAAAACAGACTGTGCAAAGGCCCCTGTCAACAGTCAAAGTAGAAGGAGGAGGGAGGGTGTTGGGAAGCACTAGCCCTTTTCATTCCCTGCCCCCAATATGATCAAGGAAAACAAATGTAGGCTACACTTTGTTTTACCAGTGTGGTAGTATTTTAATCTTAGCTACTAAAAACACAAAGTATGGCTGACGTTGACAGCCATGAAATATTTTATTATTTAGAAATGATGATTCTAGCGGGTAATGGGTAGATCATTGTGCCTTGCACATAAAGTAGCCACTCAGATACCTGAAGACTATCTGACATTAATCATACTTACAAATGCCTGCTTAGAAAGTTAGGTTTCATTTATTCAGTCTTACTAAGATCAGCATATTAGCAAAAATATCAGTTGATAGGACCTAAAAGTACATTTAAGGTTTGAATATCTCAAACTTCAGTTTATATTGCAGCATAGCAGAACTTCTAAAGCTGATAGGTGGTTTTTTCTATTAGGTCTACATCCTAACTCTAAAACGAAATCTATGTAGATATAAAATTATGTGCAAGCTAATGAGTAGCATTAATGCATTTTGAACCGGTTGAAGTTTCAACATTTTAAGCTGACTCATACCAGGATAAAAACGTTTGCTCTAATCTAGAAATGTAATCCCATTGTAACAGTTTTCAAGAGAGAGTTCACGTGGCAGTCTGTAATATCTTTAGGGCTGTGTCCGATTCCAAATTTTATCAGTCAAAACAGATTTGGCTGTTAGGTACGATGACTTGACTATTACATTAGTCATGGGAACACATTTTTGAGCATGTAGCAGCTTCGTATGATACACTATTTGAATTGCTCCCAACCCAGCTTCTTCACCTTACTCTGTAAAGCGCTATGAGATTAAATATGTCATAAATAAAGTTTATTTGTATTGAACAGATAATGACAGGCAAATCTGGAATTGTTGAAATAATTTGAGACAGCTAGCATAAATTATTTAAAACAAGCTCTTAGCCAATAGCCTATTTTTATTTCACTTTCACCCTCCTATTACCTTCAAATTTACTGACATCTTTTATCCTTGGTTTCAATTTTAAACCTCCAGAAAAGATCCATCCATTCACTATCTGTACAAAGCTTAATCCTCACTGGGGTCGTGGGGGGCTGGAGCCTATCCCAGCTGACTTAGGGTGAAGGCAGGGGACACCCTGGACAGGTCGCCAGTCTATCGCAGGGCTACACTTTAGAGACAGACAACCAAGCACACTCACATTCACACCTACGGACAATTTAGACTCACCAATTAACCTCAACATATTTTTGGACTGTGTGGGAGGAAGCTGGAGAACCTGGAGACAACCCACAGGGAGAACATGCAAACTCCATGCAGAAAAATCCCGGGTGTCCTCACAGGGACACAAACCGGTGACCTTCTTGCTGCGAGGCAAAGGTGCTAACCACTGATCCACCTTGCAGCCCTCTCCAGAAAGCATCATAATTAAAATTCTTATGCAAGTTGATGTTTAAATAGCCCTTTAAATAAAGAAGAAAAAAATATGTCAATGACTTATTTAGAGATGTTAAATATTGAATGGGGTCAGATTGACGCCAAAGATAACAAGAGGGTTAAACATTAAAAACAAATGTGTAAATGAATAAATAAATGACACAGTTTTGACAAAAAATTCATGACATTGCTCGCTATAAAATAACTGAAATAGACATAACTGTTTAAAGTGGTTTGTCACACTTGGTGTTGATGAGTGAATTCTTTCATACAGAGCTTGTGTTTACCTTTGTTAAGGTTGTCTATCAAAAGCTTAAAGCACTGCTAAGCTTTAGACGTCTTCTGACACACAGTCATAGCTAGCCTAGTTTACCAACTACAACACCTCAAATTACTGCTGCTCTCATCATTAACCACAGTGCTGCCATGCAGATTTTTTTAAATTTTTTTTAGCAAGGGCTCCTATCAATCTATTTTTTCCTGTTAGAGTAATCTAATGTGCGGACTGACAAAAAAAATAGAAGACTTGACTTACAGAATCTGTGTCAGGTCAGCCCTAAATGCCTCCATAATCCAGTATAGCATAACTGACTGTATAATGTTTTTTCTGTTTTAAAATGAGAAATAAGTTGTGTTCTGGTGAAAGAGTACAATGTGAAATTTTAGTCTTTAAATGAGTTTTAGGTTGGATTTTGTTGGACAAGTTGCTGTCAGTTGCCGGCTTGTAACTGATACAACGGTAACAATTAGGTGTCCATTGAAGGCATCGATTTGAAAGGGAACCTCGAAGTTCGATGCTCCTGTAAAATCAAACATTTTGTTGACAACAAGCTTTAATAGAGGAGAACGAGAGGTTGAAAGTAGACTTTAGCCTTGATGACCTGACTGGTTTGTGGTAATGCTCGTGGTATACGAGGTGATATCAGCAGCACAGAAAGTGACACTTGAGTTCAGAATCGGAATCAGAAAATAAATGTTCAGTATGTATGCAGGAAATATTAAGAGGGGTGATCTAAAGTTTTGAATTGGAACCAAACTGGCAACAAGTAAACTCTACCAAAAATATTTGATTTAAAGGAACTGTTAACAGAATCAGTAAAACCAATGAAACGCAGTTATTGGTATGACTATTTTGCACAAGGAACCAGTTATACTAATGACTGTTTAACTAAGCTAAGATAAAACTTATCAGATGAGAGAAATCTCTAGAGGGATGACTAATGTATTTCTTTATTTCTAGGTAAACATCCATTCATGGATTCGACCATCTAAAGTCAAGATCCCTCAAGATACAAGGATGACAGAGAAGAAGACTTCTACTACAACCTTAAAAACTACAGCATTTTTGACCTTCTCTCTCACATGAAATTCACTTAATCCATCACAATGTCATCCATGGGTGGAGCTCCTCCAAACGCCAGTGTTACCATACTCCATGATATCCCCAGCTCCTTCTCACCTTCTTCCTCTCCTTCCTCCCCCCCTCCAACTCCATCCTGCAGCATAGATGAGTCCTACAAGTACATATTCCTCCCCATTTGTTACTCTTTCACGTTCATTTTTAGCATTTCCCTCAACTCTGTGGTCCTCTACCGTTCATTCCGCTGGACCAAGCGCTGGAATGCCTCTTTGATATATATGGTGAACCTGGCTTCAACTGACTTTATGTATGGCCTGTCTCTGCCATTTCTTGTGGCAAGCTACATCATGCGTGACCGCTGGATCTTTGGGGATTTTATGTGCCGTCTTGTCCGCTTTCTCTTTTACTTTAATCTCTACTGCTCGATCTTCTTCCTCACTTGCATCTCAGTCCACAGATACCTTGGCATCTGCCACCCCATGAAAGTGATCACACTGGAGACTAAGAAGGCTGTCAAATGCACTTGTGTACTGGTTTGGATTGTGGTATTTGCTTTGACTTGCCCTATCTTCCGATTTGCTCAGACTGGTCATGTCACAAGACTTGCAAGGCCTGGGAGCAATGCAAGCATGAATATTAAAAACTCAAGCCTTGACATACCATCAGTAAATGATAATGCCACTTATGGTAACTTGGCAGAAGTGACTGAGATGTACCAGAACTGCTGGGACGATGCTATAGACAAGGAGTTTCCTGATTATGTACCATATGGCATCACACTTCATTTGCTGGGTTTTTTTGTGCCTTTTTCCATAATTGCTTGGTGCTACTCACGGGTAGTTCTGACCATATTTAGGACTCTGCATTCCCACCCCTCAACTGGCAGAGGTCTGAGAGTGGGACATGAGGTAGAGCGAAGAAACAGAAGTAGTTCTGCTGTCGGTAAAAGAGGAAGAAGAGGAAGCAATGGACTGTTGAGTGCAGTGGGAAGAGATGAAGGGATTTCCATTTTTCTTGGTGCACACTCCCCATATGCCAGTCGCAGGCGGAAATCTATCAAGACCATCATCACTATCACCCTGCTCTTTGCTCTGTGTTTCTTTCCCTTCCATGTTACCAGAACCATCTTTCTCCTACTGAAAGTGACCAAGAGAGTTCCCTGTCACACCATGACCACGGTCTCTATGTGTTATAAGATCACCAGGCCTTTAGCGTCATTCAATGCATGGCTCAACGCCCTCCTTTACTTCCTCACTAAAGACAAGGGAGGAGCTCACTGCTGCCAAGCAGTAAACACCACTACTGTCCAACAACAGGATGGGCCTCTATTGCCACTGAGAACAATGGGAAAAGGAGATGGTACAGGGGAGGAAATGATGCAAGACAGGATTGACAAAACAGAGATTAAGGCTTTCCATAGGCCGTCATATGTAAACAGAGCAACCTTAGATGTATAGATGAACGAATGTCACAAAATCCCATGCCTTGCCATAAAGATTGTTCTTGAATTATTTTTCAGCATAAGTCACATCCTTAAGCCTCCAGATATTCCTCAACAGCATGGATGACTTCATCATCACTCAACAACAGCACACCGGCTTGAATCTGATAACATAAATGCAATGTTGTAATCTGGCGCCCCATTATTTTAAACCTACGTTGTTGTACAGGGTGTATTCAGAATGTTTTTCAGATTTTAAGTGCTTTACTGGATTCTCTGATTTACCATAAAAACTGGGGTCTACTTGAAACAAATTAAAGGACACATCTGACCAACTCGCTACAAATGGCAGTTGTCAAAGAGTGAGATGAGACACAATGACCATTCAGACTGTAACATCACTGCATACTTTGAGTCTCTTCATGACAGCGTTCATAGTGTGGCACTTCTATTGCACACAAAATAAGTGACTGAAAATGGAGAAATTCAAACTCTGCATACTTCCAGACTTTGCCAAATGCTGTTTTGTTTTTCAAAAAGTGGGCGAAACAGGAAATTAGACATTTTGGTTTAACAAGCACTCATCCCTACAATTTGGTGGGATTTTGACCACTCAGCTAAAGGTGACAGCTCTCTAAAGGTCCTGATGTAATAAGTACGGTTAATCAGTTTCCAACTCTAAACAACACGGGTTCCATGATTTTACTGCTTATTGATTGTTGTTGCAACTGCTGTGTCACTTTCTTATTCTATATGCTCTTATTTTACTGCAGTGCACATTTAAAACGTGTCTGCTCAGAAGAGGTTGTTTGCTTAGCCTCCAGTATTGCTGCATGCAATATACAGTGCCTATAGAAAGTATTCACTGAACTTGGAAGGTTTACAGTGTTTAATGGTGCATTTGATATAGCTTTTTGGCCTTTGTGCCTTTATTGGATAGTGTTAGTGAGAGAGAGACAGGAAAGTAGGGAAGAAGAATGGGGGGAGGACATGTGGGAAAGGGTCATGAGCGGGATTCGAACTCATGACCTGAAGTGTAGTTGGTATCATAGTATAATGACACCTGTAAATGGAAGGTACAGCCACTGGTGAATCAGTCCTGCTGGCTATATCTACCCCATCAAGACAAACAGCCCTTAAAGCAACTCAGTGAAAAGGTTATTGAAAAGCACAAGTCAGGGGATAAGTCACTGAATATCCCTTGGAGTACAGTTAAAGCCATCATTAAGAAATGCAAGGAATAGGGCAGATGTGTGTAAATCGGCCTGGAGCAGACGGTCCTCAAAAACTAAGTGACTATGCAATAGAGTGAGGGAGGCCCCGTGCCTTTACTTCACCAGTCAAGGACTAATGGAGGTGTGGCAAAGAGAAAGATACTACTGGAAAATGTATATTAAATCTTGAGTAGAGTTCACTAGAAGGCATATGAGAGACTCAACTGGAAGAAAATTCTTTGGTCTGGACAACAAACACTGCACGTTATCAGAAATACAACATCCCCCCTGTGATGCATGGTGGTAGCAGCATCGTGATGTGGGGATGCTTCTTGACAGCAGGTCTCTGAAGGCTTCTAAAGGAAGAGGGCAAAATGCTGTTTTGTTTTCCAGCAAGACCTTAAACATACAGCTGAGACTACAGAGAAATAGCTTCAGGACAGCAAAGTGAATGAAGTGGCAAAGTCAACCCAGACCTAAATCCAAGGGCTATTCACTTCTAATCATGTTTAGCCTGAGCAGTTTTATGAAGAAGGAAATTGTAGTGTCCATACCTGCAAGGCTAACTAAGACTTTTCCCCACAGGCTCAATGCTGTAATTGTCAACAAAAGTCCATCAACTAAATACTGACGTGAAGGGTGTAAATACATATGCAACCACAGATTTTATGTTTTCACTTTGACATGAAAAAAAAAATCTTTTTTATTAGTTCTTGTCAAAAATATTCAAATACACTGACCATGATTTAGTGTTGAAAAGCAATTAAAGGGGATAACTTCCAAGGAGAGGTCAACACTTTTTCTAGGCACTGGAAATTAATCAATGCTCATTCAAAGCACTTCACTGCCTGCATTGGGTTATCAAAAATATAACAATAAAACTCAAATTAACTGATACCTTGTTAGATATAACCAGCATTGTTAAGAGAGCTAACCCTAACCTTGTCTCTACATCATGGCTTTAAGTAGACTATAGAAGGGCTGTATTATTTTTTCATCAATTCAGGTAAGTATTTTTTTTTCTAAATGTCTGATGTGTAACTGAGCAGTTATTGTAATATGATTAAGCATGATTAAGTTACCCAAGATAAATATTCAAGACTTGTCTCGTTAAATGTCAACATTTTATTCTCTTTTCTAATCATTATCTAATTTCTACAACACTGCTCTGTAATTATGTTAATGTTATTAATAGAGCCTATTTGTCAGATGCCTGATGAAAAAAAATTGAAATTCAGTAGGACACGTAGATTAATTTGGCCACTGTTTGTTAATGTAACTCATTTTCTGAAATGGGGAATCAGTATTTTTTCTTAAATACTTGACATAAACAGGAAACTGGTTATGATGTGGATTTACTTCATCATTGCAACAATTTCACTTTCACAAAGGAGAAACTGAAACAATCAGTGTAAGCCATCTTTTTACTTAGACATGGCCATTATTGTAAACAGAAAATATTTCATCAAGTGGAGAACAGACAGACTGACAGACACATACAGAGATTCCTTCATGTAGCAGAGAGATGATCCAGCTGAGTGTTAAAACTCTGTTATGGGTGTTTGTTATAGATAACACAACACTTACACATGTAATGCATGCAAATAAATGTTGATCGAACTTAAATTGAATTGTAAGATGAATGATATTATCAGGAGTCACATTTTTCCTCATTTTGCTGACGCTAACTACCGACAGCAAGCAAGCCCCCTTTAACCTCGATGATCATGATCTATTCAGTGATGTAATTTCAAACCCTTTTCCTTCTGTGGTCTTTACATTGGAAAAAGTCTTCCCAGTGACGTTTGGAAAGTATCCAAACCCCAAAATTAACTGCTGCCTATTCAACAGGTTCAAAACCTGTCTTGACTGTGTCCTATTATCACTTTTCTTCTGCACTGGTTTCTTTATTTTATTGTTTTAACGTGATCATTTTTGTTGTTATTAATGTGTCACTTCATATTCTACATGTTTTTATTGTATGTTGATGTTTTAGTGATGCAAATGAAGTGTTAAATTGTTTTTGCTCGTATGAGTTTTTGCAAATACAAATGTCAGTGTGGTAATACATTAAAATAAATGTTGACTAAATTGAAAAAGTCATTATGATTCAATTATATTAAGCAAGATATTGTGATTATAGATCTATAAATCTATTTCTATAATGAAAAATGGCAGCGACATATAATTTTTATGCACCATTTTCTTGAATATATCATCTTTTTATGTCGACACAGATCAAACGTTTGTTCAAATAAGGTGAAAAATCTATAATTTCCATGAACTTCAGATACATTTCCCACGACTGTACATATATTTTCATTGCATACATGGGCATCTGGTTATGTCTGATTGGATTCTTGGCTTATAAAGTAGGGAGGTTGCCTTAAGGAATGGCATATCTTAACAGGGGCTGGAAGGTGGAACGGTGGTTAGCACTGTTGCAAGAAGGTCACGTTCCGGTGAGGACACCCGGGATCTTTCTGCATGGAGTTTGCATGTTCTCCCCGTGGGTTCTCTCTAGGTTTTCTGGCTTCCTCCCACAAGTCCAAAAAACATGTTGAGGTTAATTAGTGATTCTAAATTGTCCGTAGGTGTGAATGTGAGTGTGCTTGGTTGTCTGTCTCTAAGTGTAGCCCTGCGATAGACTGGTGACCTGTCCAGGGTGTCCCCTGCCTTCGCCATAAGTCAGCTGGGATAGGCTCCAGCTCCCCATGACCCTAGTGAAGATTAAGCGGTGTATAGATAATGGATGGATGAATATCTTAACAGTTTATCTGTATGCAACCTTTAAAACGCAGGCCAAAACTTTAATCATAGTAACTCAGATGGGATTAAATTGCACACACAGACAGTTGCTGACACCATAAATGCATAGTTGTTTTAAAGTACTTTAAGTGTCGTATTAAGGCGTTGGACCACCACATGCCACCAGAACAGATTCATTACACCTTGGCATTGATATGTCAAGTTTTTGGAACTCTGAATTACTAAAGGGATTTAACACAATTTTAAAAAAATTTTAAACCCTCCTTCAGCTGGGGAGAGCAACATCCAAAATGTTGTTCAAATAGGTTGACACTTGGTGACTATGAAGGTCATGAGTCACACTCATCAGTTAATACTCACCAATCAATGACCCCTGATGTCCTTGAAGAGACCACTACCATCAGGACAGAAATGTTTAACCACCACAGGTGATCACTCAAGACAATATTGTACTGATTTGCAGTGTGCTCTCCTAATTGAACAACAGGCCCCACTTGCTCCATTGCTCATGGGCACCTGTGATTACATATTTTTATACAGTAGCAGTCTCTGCAATACTAATAAAGCAGCTTGTCTTACCAGTACAAGACAATATGTAAGGGATAATGCCCGACGAGGTGTCCATTATCAGAAATTAATGGACGACGCGGAGGCGTGAACCGTCCGACGCGAAGCGGAGGACGGTTGCTTGCCTTAACTGTACAGCATATTACCACATGGGTCATTCAAGTCAGTGAATGCCCCATGACTGCCATTTTTAATTCAGCAGTTTTTTTTCTTTCGTGGTCAATATTGATTGAGTAGACCATGTGCCAAATCTGGGGTCACAGGTAACATTAGCTTTAAATTTAATAAATTAATAAAATTTTATATTAGGACAATGACTGAGCCGGTATGATAGGTACAACCACTCTAATAGTGATCCCAACTGGATGAGTTACATAGTATTGTTGTCATGGAAAAATCATGATTTTCTGACTCATAATGCTTCAAATAATTTTATGAAAAGTGATAATAAAAAAATATGCAAAAA